AACAGTCTCTGCATCATCAGACTCCTCGCCGAGCATCTGCATATCTACAGGGTACAATGGAGCCCGCCGAATGCGCTTGCTTTTGTCGTTCAGACTTGCCAGTCTTGCTCGTTTCGCGCGCGGCACACCATCAGAATCATGAGGCAGCTTTGAAAGCGCCTGTTCGACCCTAGCATCTTGAACTTTGCGAGCCTTGATTTCTAGCATCCTCTGCTTCTTCAATTCGAACTGCCGGCGCTGTTTGGCGTCCTTGATTTGTTTCTCAATGTCAGGATTCGATGGGTTGAGGACGATGCTCTCGTCTTTGGGGGCGGCCTGAACGGGCTGATATGAGACAACGTCGCCAATCAGGTCACGTATTTCTTCAGGGTAGTACAAGAGAGACTTCTCCGACACACGAGTGGTGTACTCCTTTTGGTGGGAGTACTGTGCCATATTGTGCGCCAGCTTCAAGACTTCTGGGCTCCTTTCGTTCAGGTGTGCCCATGTAAACATCCTTCGGGTGGTTGTGCCGGGGGTATTCTTGTTCTGTGAGGCAAAGTTCCAGTGCTTCAATCCAAATTCTGGACGGGCAGCCATACTCCTGAGGGTTTCGCTGATAGTACTAAGGGAGGGCTCTTTGATGTTGGAGTGTCGCTCGCGCCAAAGGGTGAGAAATGGCCGCAGGATCTCACCTCCTCCGGGAAACACGCCGTTGCAGCGTTTAATGATGTCCAGGATGACCTTTTCTCTGAAACGGCGCTGACTGCCACCTTTTCCGTGCTCTTTAACCCTTGGCTTGGTGCCTGATACGGGGGGCACAGGAGCTTCCACAATAGTTGTGTACATACCATCGGGAGGCTTTTGGCCATCACTCGTCTCAGAAGTGACAAGATGTGAGCCATCAGCTATTGTGACTTGGTCACTACCACGAACAACGTCTGGAGTCTGTGACGGTGGTTGGGGTTCCAATATTGGACTGTTGGCATAAGGGCTTTGATACGGGGAAGTACGATCGAGGCCAGGCGCGTTGATGGGTGCCCAGCCGCCTACCTTGCGTATCAATGATGGAATCGGTCGCGGTGATTGTGTTCTTGATACATCAAAGACAGCAGGTGGTTGGATTTCACCTTTGTCTGGGTCTGAGACCTCAGGCATATCGATCTCGGCCTTTTTGTCAGCGCTGTTTTCGCGACTCATTAGTATTCTCTCAGGTTCCACTGAGGTGGCCTTGCCAGGTGTGGAAGGTGGCGGGGTATGATTTTGAATATCGTGCCGCGTCTCCATGTCGCTTCGCAATTGCATTTCGGCTTGTGACTGCTCCGATTGCGCAGCATATGAGGTATGTCTTGAAACATCCATGCTTTCCTCGCCGTGAGATGCGGGCTTTTGTGTGGTGTCAGGAGTATGCGTGACACGGTCATGGTTTATTAATTTTCTTTGAGCGTCTTCTGCCGTGTACCAGTCCATCTCCACTAGGCGTGGTAACTTGAATGTCGCCATGAGTGCCTTCCGTGGCCGACCTCGTGCAACCTTTTGCTTCACATAGGGATTGAGATAGAGCCCCGGTGAACATCGCCTCTCGTACTGGTCAATGGCTGCTAGAGCTTCATCGTCGAGTTTGGTGGTGTCAGGAGTCATGTAGACCTTCGTCGGAGGTCGCAAACAAGGCTCAGATTCCACACTTGGTAGAATGGGCTCATCCATTGACAGTGTCATTGGCTCAACTGGTCGACCGGCATCTTTCACGATCAACGAGTTTGTGTTGTCTATGCTTTGCTCGTCAGGGATTGCTGATGGAGCACAGCTCTCAAATCGGTCGATGATGGTTTCCGGAGATGTCATAAATGATGGGACAGGAACCGAGGTCGATTCTTGAGGGGTAGTTGTTTCCTTGCGCCGCTTTTTCGATGACACCGGAGTGGTTACTAGGTTCTTAACCTTCCGCTTCCCTGAGACGCTGCGAAGCGAAGAATCTTCCAGAGACTCTTGCTCTATCGAACCGGGCCTTGATACATCGTCCGTGGGTTGATCCCCCTGGCATTCGTCAAGCTCTTCTGTTGTTTCAATGGGTTTTCGAGTGGGTCCGTTGGCCTTTTTGGGTGTATTTGACGACGACGCTTTTGCCCTCATCTCATCCATATACTTGGCAATGACCTTCGAATCTTCAAGAGCAATGCCTTCCTCTCGCTCCCGACGAAGACCTTCGATAAGGTCTTGTGGTAAACGACCATGGTCCTTCCAGCCTAGTGCTATTCTTTGCTGCTTGCTGAGCAGTGTGGGCTCCTTGTTCGTTTTCGTTACTCGCTTCTTCTCCTTCTTGACTAACTTGGGTAGCCCGCGCTCCTCTCGGATTTTGTTCTCTTGTTCTATACCCAAACGCCCTCTTGCAGACAAACCCGCCGCTACGCGCTCCTCCTTTGTCATGAGAGGTACACTGAGTTGGCGCTTAGCGTGGTCTTGCACGACCGCATCTGGTAGCGACGTCGGATTTCCTGTCATCTGGCGGTGTGCAAGGATCTGCCTCTGTATGTTTTTGCTCAAACGAACATTAGGATCTAGGCCTAGCGACCTCATTTCTTCAGGTGTGAGTGAGAGACCCGAGGTTTTCTTGAGCGGTTTCGGGTCTTTAGCTACTTTGACAGGCTTTTCTTTGATAGCTTTTGCAACCTTTTTAGGTCGACCTAGTTTGCGCGGCGTTTTCTCTTTCGGCACAGTTTTCGAAGGCTTTTGATAGCTAATCTCTTGTCCCAACGCATTGTCCCATCGGGAGCCATATTTGCGTTGCTTTACGATGACTGCGCCAGCCTCAGACAGTGTTGCTGCACCAGATCCTCGTACCAGGTTACTTGGCTTGATAGCAGGAAAACCCCAAGCATCCAGGACTGCGCCGTTACTGGTAGGATCAAACACCTCGTCGGGCCCGAAACTGGCTACACCTTCCCAATGAGCATATTGTAGCTCTACGGCCTTTTCGAAATTGGCATATGTCCGATAGACGTAATGGAGGAATTTCTTCTCATCAGTCACGCCCTGATCTCGAATGACGGCCAGATGACGAAGATGGAGCGGCTGCGTTTTCTCCCAGTCATTTGTTATGCGGGAGAAATATGATTCCATTGGACGCCTCCAGAATGGTCCGACGATTCGGTCGCGCAAAGTCTCGGCATCCCATCCACGTGGACCACCTAATGCGACGGCATTGAAGACTGTGTTGGGGAGAAAGTGATCCGGTGTCCATTGCGGAGGTATGGTTTCAGGTTTGTCAGTAGCAGACGTGTTGTCTTGAGGATTGGTACTGGGTTCACAATCGTCCAACATATCGTCTTCAAGATCTTTCATTATGTCATCACCATCAGCGCTTTCGTCGAGCGGCTCTGCACCCGATCCATCAGCGGGATCAATCGTGCGTCGAAAACCAAGATTCTTGAGATCTTCTTCTCTTGGCGCACGTAGCACCTGGATGCAGGTGATCCAAGCATCCTCAGACTTTTGTTTACGGATCCTACGTCGCTTGATCATTCCGCTCTGATCTAATCGAATCAGGGCGCCTTGTGTAGCTCGCTTGTTCCATGCCGACATTGGTACACCCTAGGGATATTAGCAAGGCATGTGCGATCTTCCGCAATATACTAACCAGCTTCTGCCTAATAGTTCGCGTGGGAACAATACCCCCTTCACCCACTTTATTGTACAGCAACTGGGCAAAGCTTCTAACCACGAATGTTCCATCATCTTGGTATACATCCTCCACAGCACTAGACTCGATGAAAGCGTTCTGAGATACGAACTTTGTATGAATGCAAAGACTGGTCCGCATCTTGTTGGACTGAACAGGATACTTTGATATGTAATTTTTACGGGCCAGCTCATCTGTTCTGTGCGGTACAGATCTCTTGTCCTGGCCGCTGATAGCAATGAGCTCCGGTTGGGTAATGCCAGCAGCACCGCGAGCAGCGATAAGTGAAAGTAGTACAAACTCCATGCTTGGGACCTTCTTCAGATCAATTCCATGGCCGGTCAATGCCTGCCAAACTCTATTCTGACTTGTGTACAGACGGGGCGCAGTCATGCTTGAGTTGGGCTCATCAAAGATTGCTGTTGTGGTTTGTGGAGCTTCTACCACACCGCGAGATGATCGGCCAGCAGACAATGAAGCTATAGCTTGATTCGGTAGACTAGAAGGTATTCTAGGCCCGCCTTCCTCGCCATGAATTCTCTGCCGCAGGGCTTCTCCCAGCCCACTCAATGTATTTGAGGGATGCACTCTCTTAGTCGCAGAGGTGTTCAAGCCCTGGTCGGACTCTGCGGCATGTGTGTCGCCAATAGTACCAGTCTCATGTAGTTCAGCCGCTTCGAACTCAGAGAGGGTGTAGTTCTGAACCTCTGCCTTGTAGACAATGCGAATGTCCGGATGATTAGTGAGCCATTGCCATGTGCGTTCATAGAAGTTGCGGCCAAGACTGTTTGCTGACAGAGATGCCTCAGTCTGGTCATCGAGCCTGGACGGCGCATCATCCTGACGTTGGCTGTAGAAGTTTTGAATGAAACGACGGAAGTCTGCACTGCTTGCACCTGTACAAGGATTAGCTGTTGGCGTCTAGTAAAGTCAAGTACGAGAGAAGAGTGAGGCCGCTAGAATATATGATGGAACAGTGAGTAAACAAAAAAATCCCCAGAGATGATGTTTTTCAAATACCAACAAGCAAACAAAGGGTGAAGTACTATATCAAAGTGATAGTGGTGACGCGGGCAAATGGTGGCTGATGTAATCTCAAAGCGAGAACGCGTGCAGCGAGTCATGCATACCTTGAACGCCGAGGAGAGCAATTTCTGATAGCAAAAATTCCAAAAGCTCATCCAGGCCGGTCGCCATTGTATTCTGACCGGTCTTTTCCTGCGACCGCACGTCAAGGAAAAGACGGTTGGATGCTGCTAACGCATGTCAAAAGGTGGCGGGATAGGGTTTCGAACACGCGCTGCAACAGGCTGCAAGGTTGGCTCGGGAGATGTGACTGGCTCTTGCTGGCGGCGGGGCCGCACTCTGGCGCGCAAAGGTTGGCGTTCTCGAGAAGGGAGGCAAAAAGGTACAGGTCGCCTTGGTGAATGTACAGCAGGTTGGCGTTGTCCAGAGCAAGTTTCGAACGCGCGGCGGGTTGTGGTCGAATCGGTAGATTTTCTGGCTGCGCTTTGGTGGGGTCCTGCGAGTGCAAAAAAAGAGTCCAGAGAACCGGAACTCCCCCCGCATCAGGTCTTGGCGTCATGGTCCGCGCTCACACCTGACGACTGTGATTTCGAAAGATGCCAAGACCCTATCACGTGATTTATAAATCAGGCAAAAAGTGAAAGTTGCAAAAACAAAAACATACGGCAGCGGGGATTCGCTAGCAGTTATCTACCTAACTACTAATCTACTAGTAAACTACTGTGCCGGTATACAGGGTCGCTAGCGGCCCTGGTATACACACTACGATCTAAGGCCAGGAGTATTGTCATGGAGCGTTTTTAACCTCTACCTGCGCGGGTGCTTGAGGCGTAAAATGAGTGTATTGTTGAAGTCTGAAGGGTCTTTAGGCTTAATAGTTGTTTGTGCATCTATGTGTTTTTTCCGTTCTCTTCTATCATATACCTTCCATTATATCCACGTCTGAATACCTTTCGGACCTTATGCTAGCATAACCCCTGGTTGCTCCACCACAGTATAAGAGGGAGATTCTTCGTATACAGTGAAAAATATGCTATAGAAGAAGTTCTAGCATATATTGTCTCGTCGTTTAATTCCATCGTGTCTAACTACATACCCTTACTGCTGAGAAGAAGGTGAAGGCAGCTACAGTCTATCTAAGTAGAGCTAGTGGGTGCAGCACTCCCTACACCCGTTCAATGTAGTACCCAACCTAAATCTTACCTAAACTCTTAGTAACCTAACTCTAATACAACCCCCACTTATTTGCCACCGTAATTCTTATGGCATAATCTCTTCTCTAAATGGTGCTCCTACACCGCACTTACATTTAGCGCTTACATACTCTCGGCATAATCTCTTCACTATATAGTACTTAGACACCGTGCTTAAATCTAGCGCGCATATGATTTGCTTTTTTCTCTCTCACTGATTGCTATATAGCGTGTCAGAGTTTGGGGCAAGGGTGTGGTCGAAGGAGAGCAAGAAGTGGATGGGCATGGTTCTTTGATTTTATGGTAAACCACTGGGTGTTCGATAGGATGGTGACGAGAACGGCGTCGACGCTACGTGACGGTGTCGATCGGTGGAGCTGAGGATGGGTCCTTATACCCGCTTACTGCTTCACTTACTAATTCTAATAAATTTCGGAATTCTTTTGTCACACAAACGTCGCTCAGAAGGCCGGAGTCAAATTAGCGCTCACATGTTCTCGGTATAATGTCTTCTCTAAACAGTATATAGACAGTCAGCTATGTTAATAAGTGGACAGCTCTTCCTTGCACATAACCTTCTGTACACCTAAGCTATTGCTCTTCAAAGCGTAGCCTTTTATAAATTCTTTTCAATCCTACATCTATCCAAAATCATTTTTATCTCACAATATGAAATTTTCAATTGCAGTCGTTTGTTCTTTAGCATCGCTAGCTCTGGCCATGCCCTCTATTATAACACGAGGTAGTGCAGTCGCTCCTATGTTAGAAAGCAGAGAGCGTGTTGGCTGTTCCAAGGCTATTGGGGGCTGCCTAGGAGTAAGTACTTTCGGCTAAACCAAGCAAATACCATCTAACTATTTTATAGATCTGCGACCATCTCGGGGGGTGTGGAGTCACTAGAGGCCCTGATAGGATTTTCCATTTTCCCTGCGCCACAGGCAGTGTTAGTTTTGTTTACTCTTGAGAGAAAGAAAACTAACCAACGTCATAGTGTTCTGGCAATAACATAGGCGCTGTTTGTAATGCCTATGGAGATGCACCTACAATATGCAGGTAGACACCTGCTTCGCATTGGTAGTAGAGTATCTATCAAGAGTAGTCTCGAACGGGAACGATATAAACCTCCTAATACTAAAACTTGGAGTTTTCACGTACAAGGGATAGGGTATACCCCTACCTCTACCCGCGGCCTGTGCGACCACTACAATAACTCTACCATACCTCTAGGTTGAGGGAGGGGGGGGGGTACCCATTTGCTAGAGTACTCCCACTCTAGGCACCAGCTTGCAGTACTTAGGTCAGTTCGTAACAGCTAATAAGTATTATACAATGTATAGGCAGTAGCTGCTGTCAAATAAGTAAATAGTAGCGTCCGTAATATAGTTGAAGCTATATAATTAAGCATCTATTATAGGCTTTATCTTTGGTTCACCATCGCTCACTTATCTTATTTCATGCCGAGAAGAGCCACACTATGGGCAAAACCCCCCGCAAAAGCCAGGCCGCGGTGATTGCGCTGCCAATCATGGAGAGACATCCACCACAGAAAATGATAAAGTAGAGTAGCTCAAGTGGGCGTTCATAAAACCACATCTGATCACCATCGAGGCGATCGTTCTTCTCACACCCTGTGATTTGACCATTCGGAACGTACTTGAAATCGAGCAAAGAGCCACCCTTGAGGCCATACTTGGAGTGGATAATGGCGTTATGCAAGACCTCGCGGCAAAACTGGATAGACCAAGCCTCAAACGATGGAATACAGCGCTGGGCAGTCGCAAGGGCAACTACAAGCCAGCAGTGACCTTTGAAACAAGCGTAAGGATACCAGCCTGGGCGGCCCATGCCCAGCTGATCACAGATATCATCTCCGTTGAGGCGGCGGCTGCCGGCTTCGATAAAGCCAGCTGATATGTTGACGGGTGGAAGGTCTTTGAGGGCCTCAACGAAGTTGTGTCCAACGACGAGTGATGATGGCGTAATGTGTAGCTCGTTATAGCTCAGAGACTCCATGATAGCCTTGGCTTGAGATGTTGTTGCAAAGAAGTCGGTTGGGGTGCCGATGACGTGACCGACATATCTCCAAAGCGCAATGTAGTCGTCGACCTCTTGTTGAGGTGGGCAGATGCCCATATGAGGTAACTGCTGCCAAGCGTGGTTACAACTGAAAGTGGCAAGGGCATGGATCGAGTCAAGCGTGTTCATGGGTGGACCGTGGATGCTGGTGTCATAGTAAGAGGGACCTTTGACCTCAGCCACACGTAGCATACGTTGTTGGACCATCGCGTGCAACAAACGCACACGTATGGTAGTCTCGTGACCTTTACCCCCGGGTTTAATAAAGTCCAATGAATGTGTCACCTCGAGCACGAGCTGGAACGTCTCCAATAGCCGCCTCCGTAACGATCGCGTACTGAAGCCGCCTGTTCGCAGCAACACCTCAACCACACTTGTTGAAGCCGAATTCTCGCCAACAAATCCCTGGAGCGCGAAGCCAATGATGTTCCCTAATGCGTAACGATAGAAAAAGCGCTGCCCACGTTCAACTTGCTCCCAGTTGACCCAATCGGGCACTGTGTTGACCTGTTTCCAGAATTCCCCGAGTGTCTCATCATGATGCCGGTTGGCTTTGAGTGTCGCGAACATGTCGAGTCTTTCTGTCGGTTCCCCCGTTGTTTGCGGGCTTCATGCTCGCGCTGGTGGATCTTTTGGATGATGTTGACAGTGGTGGCACTCAGCTCATCGTGCTCGAAGCGAAGGGGATCAGTTTTTTCCTTAGGAACGTGTTCCTTTGTCCAGTAAAAAGAATAATTTCCAACGGTTCGAATGTCCTCTGCCGTAGCCTTGGAGCATTTATGGCTGGCCATGTCTCTCCCGAGTGCGGTTGAATAATTGTACCAGAAGCTTTGAAGCTGATGTTTGTGTGTTCTTAGTAGTATATACAACTATTACCCTTTTGAATGCGCTACGCATAAATGCACACTAGCATTCAAGGGGAAGGGCTGGGATTCGGAAGCGAACTTGGAAGATTTGTGAGGGAAACTAGGCAGTGAGATTGACATTTTGTGCTGGCTCCGATTGAAGATACCAATTGGACCCCAATTTTCTAGATACGAGACGCGAGTAGTACGTATGCATCGGGTTTCCTGATAATTTCGCCAAGAATTAAGGCTCCCACCCCTCCACACGAAAAATGGCCCCCTCTCACCGCACTATCCCCCTTTGAGAGTGTGCCGTCTTTCGGGCGAAGGGACTGCTTCTTAGTGCTTCTAAAATATCTTGTCCATATCTTGGTTTGACTAGGTACCCCTTCTTGGCCAAAAGTCATCCCTATCCGAGACTACGTTTGTATAGATCCACACACCAATTTTACTAGTTGACACGTGAAAGCTTGGGTATTACGTGAGTTTTCCACTTTGTTGTACAGTTCAAGATCATCATGCATAAGTGCTTACACTGAGGTAGAACACTAATGGGAAATTAGACTCGTTGCTCGTTAACTCTCTTGCGGGATACGCTACTAATCCTATCAGGTTTCCACAATTCAGGGTGCTACTTATTTCTCCGTGACGGGCTAGTGTGAGCTATACCACTTATACCGCAATCTTTGTTCTTGCTACCACTGTAGTATCTTTAACGACGAGGCGCCACGTCTAAGACCCACTCGACTCGTGGACAGCGTCTTAGGACGTCATTCAAGGGTTTCTTTCCCGTGTTGCACATTGCCGGTCAGATCGATTTAGCTATTGACCCAAGCTAGCTGCTTTATACAATTGTCTCTTTTCATGTCAGTTTTATCTTGACTTGTGCCTCTCACTCGACTCTCCATTCATTCATTGTCCTAGCTTTAGGGCAAACCCCCATTTATTGCTATCACACTACATCATTTCATTTCATGACCGCAGCTATGGAGGAGAGAACCGTCGTTACCATCCCTGACCTATTTAAGTGCTTCTTGACCCAAGAACCCAGATATAATAAGGGGTACCAAGCTGCTAAACTGGAGTCGGAGCGATGGCTTGCAAAGTCAGTAGTTTCCGTTGTCAGATACCTAGATCCAATATTGCGCCCTAACCGCACCGATCAGAACATGCGACTTCGCTCCTAGTATGAGCAAAAAGGTCAGCGCCTGCGATTTCTCGTTTTTCATCTCCATCGCCGCACCCGACGCGCCTCCAGACAGGCTGAAAACTTTATGCGACTGGGGAAATTGGGTCTTTCCATTCGACGACTGTGAGCTTTCATTCCAACACCGATAAAAATTTGGTGTGTTTCAGGCATGACCTCTTTTCTCACTGACGGTGGATAATATCACAGTATTCGACTCAGGCGAGCTGAGGACCGACCTTTCAACATCCGAGCATGTTCTCGATAGCCTCATGGCCAACATGATGGGCAGTCCCTTCGTCGGATACAAGCTCCCTATCGTGAAGGCACATGACGACATTTACAAACGGTTCAAAAAAGGCTCCTCCTACGGTACCCAGAGACGATTTGTTCGTGCTATGCAGCACTACACGCTAGGTGTAGCGCACCACGTCGGGCACTTCACCACCAATCACATCCCGTCCCTAGAGGAGATGCTATCGACACGGCAGCTATCGGTTGGCGTCGCGCCACTCTACCATCTCGTTGAGTACGCGCATGAGATTGTGCTTCCAGATGAGGTCTTTGATCACCCCGTGATTCAAACACTAGAGTGCCTTGGTGCTGACTTCGTTATTCTGTACGCCACTTCAATTATGCTTCTATGTCATTCTATGACACTAATCGTACGCGCACCAGATCTAACGACATACTCTCGTACCGCAAAGAAGAGGTAATTTTGGCCTGAAGATACATGTATAAGTCATTAAGACACTCCACTGATATCTCAAATGCATAGGGCGAGGGGTGTCCTTTCAACATGACCGCTGCATGCCGACTAGCCGGGTACTCAGTGCAAGAAGCTTTCGATATATTGGGTTCCCTGCTCGAGCAGCGTTACATTCAATGGGATCAAGCTATCCATAATCTGCCCAGTTGGGGTGCAGATATCGATGGTGAGGTCCGCCGGTACATTGATGGCATTCAGAATGTTGTGCAGGCCAACATTAGTTGGAGGTGCGTAATTTCTTGTGTTCGACTATGTAACATGGGAATACTCTGAAAGTCAAGCATCCGCTAAAATTCTGTCCGCCTTCATTGTAGCTTTCGTTCACAGCGATACCTTGGCAAAAATGCCCTTGAGGTGCGACGCACTCGTAAGATCGATGTTATGACGACTCCTCCATACTTGAGGATTATGGATACCAGACCCTCATTACTAAAGTCACGATGCGTTCCATCAACTAGTAAGTTCCACCAGCTAGATAATTAGTGAAATATCACTGATAAATAACCAGCGCAAAGTACAAATTCGAAGTTAGATGATTGCTTCGAGGCAGAGCAGGCGGGTAAACTTGTTTTGAACGTCCTGTAGTTGTATGTAAGAAAGTGTTTAAGATCATTATAGACTAATACAGCAATTTAAGCTAAGCATGGAAGGCAGTGTATACCTACTAACAGTGCATTGTTTACTGTCTTTTGCATGCTTACCCGACATACTCGCACAAATCACGACATAACGTCGCACTACTTAGCGTGTTGGTGGCGTCTGTTGAAACCGAGCCAGCGAGCGCTTAGCGTGGGGGCCGACTGCACTCGTCTGGGTAGTCAAAGCCGCGGAAGACGCACTACTCATTTTAGATTAAAAGCTGACCTTAAAATATGTATTTGAACACCTGAGATGGACCGATTGCAACCCTACTCCAACCGGAGCTACGTCGGCAAGGCTCTCAGTCGCTTACCTACTACCGGTACCTGCTGGTGATCCTAGACGGGAGCTCGTTCTCTCCGCGACTTTCGCGCATCGCCATAACTCTTCATTTGGTCTGAATGGTGGGTTCCGAGAATGGCACACAAAACTGGTTTCTGCGACTTCTGCTACGTGAACGTTTTGGGGGCGAAGAAGTCATGGGGTTATCACCACCCAAGCGCATCGTCCCTTACGAGCTCTGCTCGCCGAGGCTGCACCTTCTGTAGTCTTCTGCATGAAGACGTTCTAATGCATCGCTCGCTCCTGCACAAACATGAACACCAAAACACCAGCTTAAAGCGATTTCTGCATGAGGACGTCGCAAGAGTTGACAAACTACAGCCAGGCCAGGGCTCGGTCGTATCTTTACACCGATGGAGTATTCGTAGCTTGGGACGTTCCCGAGAGACCAAACACGAAGTAGCAATCACATTTCGAATTGTACCGAGGCAACTCAATGATGAGAATAACGAGAATCACGAGGGAAAGCCACGAACCTTTGGAATACCGGAACGAGTTTTCTACTGTTTCCTCGAAGAAGAAGTTGATGGTTTATTGTCTGCCGCTGAGCTTGGTACGAGCACAAATCCTGCGTTCAATGGTGGCCAGCAGATCAAGGACTGGATTAGGGCTTGTGGTATTGGACACAAATACTGTCCTAAGCGCGCTGGCTCGGCGAGCAAGTTCATTCCCACACGACTACTACACATCGGCGGTCACCGTACAGGGGATCGGCTGCGGGTAGTTAACACCAAGCTTAACAATGTCAAGGGACCTTACGTCACCCTAAGTCACTGTTGGGGAAAAGATCCGTTGGTGACTCTGAACTCTAGTACTCTTGAAGAGTTCATGCTTGTCGGTTTGCCGTGGCGTAAATTGTCAAACACTTTTAAGCAGGCCATTGAGGTGGCGTGGTTCCTCGAAGTTGACTACATTTGGATTGATTCTCGTAAGCTCTCATTATAACGCCAAAAGGATAGTGGAAGCTGACATTGCCCTGCTTGATTCAGTCTGCATCATGGTAGTATTGTTATTCTTCCTGATAGGCCGTGCTGACGATTGTATAGCAAGGAGATGCTGCCGACTGGAAGCATGAAGGCTCTCGGATGGAACAAGTGTACAGAAACTCATTCTGCAACATCGCTGCTGCCGATTCGGAGAACGGTGCTGGAGGCCTCTTTCGGCAAAGAGAGGCACGGGACGTCATACCAGCTACTCTGGACCCCAATGATGCGTCTCATATCCTGGGTAAGCAACGGTGGGTAGTTGTACGTGGCGATCTGTGGGATCAAGGCCTTCTCGAGAAGCCGTTGTACAAACGCGGTTGGGTTTATCAAGGTCAGTGTCTCTGAGAAACTCTGAACGCTTATCTAACAGTCTTCAGAGCGTATGCTTGCACCTAGGATCTTGCATTTCAGCAAACATCAAATCTTCTGGGATTGTACCGAGATGAGCGCTTGCGAAACTCTTCCGGCTGGGTTACCTTTGCCTTTAGACCAGCAGTCGGCACGGGATCGCCATTGGCGTGGGCGTCTACAGGAGAGTACAAGGGGTACGACACTGCTTTCTGGGGTCAATGACGACTCGCTCGATGACCTATGGAGAGCAACAGTCAGAGACTACACGGGCCTTGATCTCACTAATCAGACCGACAAACGTATGGCAATTTGGGGCGTGGTAAAACGGCTTCGAGAAATGCAAAGCGAAGAGTACGTTGCTGGAATGTGGGAGGGAGCTCTTGAGGAGCAGTTGGCTTGGAGAGTTGTAGACTGCACAACCAGCAAACGGCCTCCGGAGCTGAGCGCAAACCCAACCTGGTCTTGGACTTCTATGCAAGGGACTATATTGAGCCCGAACAGATCGGATTGGTGGCAAAGAAGTTACATTATTCAAGATCACGCTGGCGATAGGATCTGGTTTGACGTTGGTGAGCAAGGAATTCGACCAAGAATGCCGGCAAGAAGTTCAGGAAGCGCTAGCGATATGACAAGGGAATTAGACTTGTCAATCGAGAGACGGCGTCATTCAAGTTCGACGGCACGTGCGAGCTCGCACCCAGACGTACGTGGATCTTCAGACGCTGCTCAAACGCCTCGCCCCCTGTTTAGGACAAGGACTTCATCGCCGCTACGAATGGAACACACGCCTCGCATACCCAGTTCAAGGCAAGGAACGCAACAATCCGATGCACAGCAAAATTCGCAGACGTCGCCTGATGAAAGGCGAGAGAAAGAGCCAACCTTGAAAAGTAATAAAATTGCGATGCAAGGCTTTCTACACGCAGGCCGTCTGAGCCAAACGCAACCCCGCGCATGGTATTTGAAGATTCCCCACGCATTCGACGAGACCGATAAGATCGACGTGTTTCCCGATATCATCCCGAGTTTGGACGACCTCGACACGATATTTGTTGTGATTGCATTGACGGAACGCTCCAACAAGGTCGAAACAGATACCATGCCGGAAGAAGCAGAAGAGGAAGTTTGGTTTGAAGGTCATGGTCTCTTATTACAAGAAGCAAATGAGCCTTGGTGCTTTCGGCGGACCGGTGTCCTTGACATTCGCCATCTGAGCTACAAGACTTGGCAAAGCCTTCTGACAACGAGCAGCAGCCTACCAGGCTCGATATTGGAGACGGACACAACTCCTTGCAAGAACTTTTACATAGAGTGAGATAGAAGATCATATATCACAATTACCACCTGATCAGCTGGCATGAAGTATTTTGTATCTGCAGTAGCTCACAACTTTGAACAACTCTATTCTATCTACTGAAAGTCCAACCCCGTCTCTTCCGGCGGTGAAATCATTGGCGAAGCAGAAAAGACCAATCCTAGCCCCTTGAAAGAATCTGATGACTCGCGCCTGGAGCTTGGTAACGACGACTGAAAAGCTGACAACGGCCGAGCTAACGGTGACTGAAATGTATGGGACCTAGGAACCTTGGACATCGGCAATTGTGCATATGCCCAAATCAAGTCTTCGTTGTATTCATCGTTTACGAACAACCAGAAAAGGCGGTGATACGCTGCAATGGTGGATTCTTGACCGAGGAATGGCGGGGCAATGATGATGAGGTATCCGTTTGCGGACTCCAGCACATCTTCTGGACTGCGAGATGGCATTATATTCATGCGTGGATTGCGAGTTCGCTCTCGCAGTAGGTTGGCAAGGCGAGACAGGGGCAAACCTCGAACCGCATCTCCTTTCCGACCCACTGCTGCGATAGTCTTGAGAGCTACCGAAGAGCTGTCGGCCCCCGATTGCTGCTTAATCGTTTTGATCGCGGTGTTGAAATGAGCTTGAACATTTCTCGGTATACGTTTTGGCATGAGGTCAAGGGCCTCGGGGAAAGGCAGGTTGTGAATTCTGTCAACGGCAAGCTTCGCCTGCAGAATGCTTCCGTCAACATAACGCGCGATTTTTTGTATCCACTCATGACCTTTGTCACCTTGCATAGTATTTCTAAAGGCGAGCCCGAACGACGATAACGGAGGTTCCGATAGATCCTCCAAGGTCATGAATCCGAGATCGCCATGCTCTCTTTCGAGATCCCATGCTATGTACTCTGCCATGGCATCGTCGGACATGCCATTGAGTGTCAGAGTGTAATACTCTGGGGCCTTCCAAGTGCCTACCGAATCGCTGATTATGGAGTTAGATAGTGTTATTGCCATGGCTCGTATTTCATCTGCGTATTTTCCAGGCCGGACTGTACTTACCACTGCTCACAAGGAGTATCTTCCCTCTTGCAATCAATGCAAATATCCTTTTGCTGGCATTTAGAGCAGCGCCAAAAAACCGTGAGGGGTGAGTCTTGCGGGTGATAATCGCACCAAATGATCATTGCTGGTTCGTGCCTGGGTAATCGTGACGTGACAAGTATCTTCAGTCCCTCGTCTTGCAATGCATCGAAGTGATGCTGTACCAGTTCCCGTAGTGCTGGACTGCACTGATCTAGATGGTCGATGATAAGTACCACGTCTCCCTTTCTGGCCAACTCTGCAGTCCTTAAGCGGAGTGCTTGTGCAATGGAATCAATCCTTTTCGAAGCTCTCTGCCCTGTGCGTAGTAATTCCTTGTATGCGCTGTACGCTAAAACCGTCGCAGGATCGACATCGCAGCTAGGGGGCGACACTTGGTTGTATATGCTATCCAAGAGATCCTCTAGAAAGGCGAGTTCATTCTCAATTCTGTTGCGATGGTTGATGAAGATGTTGGCAAGCTGGAAGGTCTGCTCTTCTGACGCTGATATGATTTCCCTCAAGCGTTTGGCTACTAGTGCTGCGAACGTTGTCTGACTATGCCATGAGCATCTTCATCAGCGCTCTAGACAGAGACTGACCTTTCCAGACCCCGGCCCGCCAACGACATGGAGTTGCCAATGATCTTTACATTGTAGCCACTCGGTAAAGAGCTCGCTTGCAAGTATACTATCAAATAGTTGTTCGTAGATGTCGGACGTGATAGGAGAAGACTCTTGGATCGCTGTGTGAACGACCATGTCTCGCGCAAAGGCGTCGCCATCATCTTCACTTGTGGTCTGCCCAATAGGGAACATGCTGTTTCGACGAGCGAAGCTCCACTGGTCGGGCCGTATTGACCTTGACAAGGCTGCGTCTCGAGAACCTAAAATCTGTTGTGTAAATGCACATGTCCCTCTCGCAATCAGTGGGACCGAGTCGTGGTAGGTCAAGTGATGTTCAGCCTCAACCAGGCTGACCGCATAATCTCGATTTCCCGTAGATGGTGTAGTTGGCGTTGCGGGACCCCCGTTAAAATCAACTTGGGGGCCTAGTTTGGGGGCCAAGTTTGGGGGCCATGTTCGGGGCTGATTGTGGGGGCCAACTTCACCTTTTGAGGCAAGTATCAAGCTGACGGCGAAGACTGACCGGTCGTATAAGGAGCTTGGAGCAAATTTGCGCATACCGATGGGCTTGTATCACCGTAGTTTGCATCGGCCTAGTGGGTGCTACATGACCATTTGGGCGATGGTTGGTACGCCCCGTCACAAAGCGACCTCCCAGGCAGTGCGCCCGGCTGCCTAACCGCCCCAAATATAATTTCTCCATGGCATATCCCCCTGCAGGTGGCTTCTTCAATGTTCTGGGCAACATTCCTATTTGGGCGAACATGCAGCCTTAAGTACTGTGACCCCATTTCCCGCAATGAACTTGACGATTCCGTCCCAGACGACTTGCCATCGCCATCTTCGAGATGCTGTTCCGAACATCAGCCCTCTCGGTAGCCGTGTTGAGTAGTGTACATCTCTCAGATGCACTATCCATATCGACGTCCGACAGTCCTTACAACAAGATTCGTGTCCGCCAAGAAGATACCGAAAACCCAGAAGCAAGTGCTTGCGGCTATATCATCGACAACGTTAATGAGGGATACGCTTATCACTATGCATCCGATGCATACCTTTGTCTGACCAGTGTACCTTTCAACCCTGCTGTTGCCACTCGCTTCATCACGTACATCAACGACACTGTGCAATTTCAAAGCACTCTCGCATATCTCCGGGAACCTCCAGCTGGATATCAGCAGCCCGCTGTGGATATCCTGTCAGGATTGATACAAATTCAGAACAATATCACGGCGGAAGTCTACAAGAACCAATATGAATTTGAGGTTGACGTACAGCATTTGCTGGACAGTGCTCATGATGGCCACCTGTATCTGAGAGGCGGCATTATGGCGGCTTTCTCCTTCCTCGCGCCGTATTCTATCACCGCTGCCTCACCGGACGACGCAAGTCTACCGAAGCTTTACCTCACAGACGACCTAGTAAGAAGCCGAGACGAAGGTTGGACGCCTTCTGCAATTGCTAAAATCAATGACATGGATGCTGTCGAGTACGTCACAAAATTGGCGAGCATCAATGCCGTTGGTGGTATAGAACCAAACGCCGACTGGAACCAAGTGTTTTACACACCTGCCCTGGCCATTCAGGGATCCGGTGGTATCTGGGACAGTGGCGTACGCTTCTATCCAGGAGACGAGATTGAGTTGGTCATGGAGAATGGGACCGAATACCTTGATTACTGGCTTGCGCTCTGGAATGAGCCGTACAAGACAGGTCCACTCACGACTGGCGGAGATCTCTACAACTACTTCGTTCTGAACTTCTTGCCCGCCTCATATGACTCGAGCGGAAGCTTTTACAACGCAGCATATGATCCCGGTCAAGATGCCGAGAACACGACTGAACCTGTTGTTGTGCCTACACCTGAGCAGTCTTGGTTTACCAAATCCAACGGAGCATATCCCAATCCTGATGTTCGACAAGAGGGTCTCGCAGTTCGCACCGATGGTGTTGTTTCCGGCTACTTCCTACCACAGGTTGATGCTGCGACACTCAGCATCCCTTCGTTTTCACAATACTCTGACTCGATCGAGGACTTCAGCGGTGCTGTATCAGCCTTCATCGGCAATACAACCCAACAAGGCTTGAAGAGAGTTGTGATAGACCTTCAACAGAACACCGGTGGTACTGTGGAACTTGCCTTTAGCACCTTCAAGAGATTTTTTCCGAACGCGGATCCTTTTGCAGGAAGCAGGCGCCGAAATCATCATCTCGGGGGCATTATAGGCGGAGCATACACATCGTACTTCGATAGTCTTAATCCTAGCGATCCTGACTATGAGTACCTTCTGGCTGCTGAATGGGTGGTTACTCCCAGACTCAACGCTGCAACGGGCCAAAACTTCACTAGCTGGGCTGAATACACAGGACCTGTGCAGGAAAAGGGCGATTCCTTCTCGCTCACAGTATGTTGCCAGCCAAGTCTTATGCAATAGGTATATCTAACAGAGCTTAGGAGCGTTACAATCTTTCGAACTCCGAGTTCAGTTCAGCTTTATTCGAAGGCTGGGTGCCATTGGGTTATTCTCCTGACAATCCCCTGGGGTACACGACGCCACCATTCGCGGCTGAGAATATTGTTGTAGTAAGTGTTACGACTCATGGTCAATTACGAAGGCTAACAAGTACTAGTTGACAGATGGAGCTTGTTCATCCACATGCGCTCTTCTAGTCGAGATGTTCAAGCAGGTCGGCGTTCGAACCATTGCAGTAGGTGGACTTCCAGCCACCGGTCCTATGCAAGCTGTAGGAGGTATGTTCAAGAGTGCTAAAACGTGCCGCTATATCACCACTGACGCACATTGCTTTAGGAAATCGTGGCGCCGCGATTCACTCCGCCGACCAAATCGACTATGACCTCGGACTCATCTCTATTCCTGAGTTCAATGTTGATAACGCAACATTGGCCACGGTTCCTCAGCTCTCCGATGATGGCTTCCGAGATTCTGGTGTTTTCACAGCAGCCCTTGGCATCAACCTCAGGGACCAGGTCCGACCCAACGATACAGAGCCACTCCAATTCAAATACGAACCCGCCGATTGCCGCATCTTCTATACCCTAGCAAATGCGTTCAACTACACCCGCTTGTGGTCTGATGCTGTCACAGCCACCTTTGACGACACTTCAAAGTGCGTCTCAGGCTCCACGGGCTTTTCGAGCTCAAACAAGACTGCGCCAGGACCTGCGCCAGCCGCACCAGCTCCACTTAGTCTCAGCGTCGCCCAGCCTGATGCTTCAATAGACGATGAGAACCTCGATGAGTCGGGTGGTCCGCAGAACGTAGGGACGCCTGCACAGAGCTTCACCATCGACTACTGCTTACCCACTGGAGGCTGTGCATTTCCCCGTGTCCAGCGATGCGAACCTGTCCCAGCGACCATCTGCGGCGTCACCAAAACATACCAATTGTGTCTCCCACAGACACAAGACCCGAACGTGTGTGACCCTACGACTGCAGAGTGGGAGCAAACCTTTGTCGAGGCAGGGCGTGGTAGTCTTAGGCGAAGACTTTTGCCTACTTCTTTGGTGCCACCGAGGAGGCTTCCTGCCACAAGCCAGCCAGTGGGTGGAGCGCCTGCGTCGCCCCCCAGGTTTGGTGTGACGAGAGCCAATGAACCGCAGCAACAAGTCAAGAGGTATGGGCGATGTAGGCCGAAGAAAGGCAAGAACTTGAGGCTTCGTTCATGTCGCACCTAATAAATAAGCATTTGAGACGATGTAATATCTCTAGGCCAGGCTTGGCTGGGTAGTCAAAGCCTGCGGAGACTACTTCAAATACTGTAATACCACTAGAAGTAATAATATATGCACATAACCTCGACTTTCCTCATGTCCTCGCGATGCATGTCAAGGGCATTTATACAGCAATTTCATCGATATCTGCAAGTCTTGCTTACTCCAGGGTTATCTCTTTGCCTGCTCACCCTTTTCTCCAAACCGACCCCTTGCGCTCGTAGGGCCAATGACTATCCCAGAATACTGAAACTAAGTTGTATATATTTGGACGAGTTGAAGGTTTCCGGACTTAGCTCGATACTTATCCAAAAGAGTTCACGTGATGGTATCGATAACCTAACCTAACTTGACACTACCCCGCGGACGGAACACGCTATTCTTACTGTGTACATACACCTCTAACTCAAGAATATAGCCTGAGTACTGATCACTCTCTTACTATTACGAAAGAGGCGTACCGCCACCAATAAGATGAGCGTCATGATAGCCTCATGCAGACAGCTCCAAACCGGGGCGTGTTCTCGGCTCGAATGCTCCCTGGCTCATAAGCATATGGACTGCCCATAGCCTCTAATGCGTATACTTGGGTATCGTGTAAGCCATGGGGAATCTCCCCTCTTCATTCAAGGATCCATCGCTCAGCCTTGCTAGCTACGCCATCGTGCCTTATCGTAACGCTTGGTCATTCATGTTGGACAGTTTGCTTTAATCTATGCCTTCTTCTGAACTGCAGAATCAGACTGCCGATCTGATGCCATCTAGATCCTCATCAAAGGACAATCATCGACGGAGAATTCAGATTGTTGCACTTTAACGTAAAGTTTCTATAGGTCCAGAGCAGAGAAGGCTGTGTGGGCTTGTGCCACTCGAGAATAGCCTTGAATCCCACGGCCGCCGAGCCACAGCCTTACGCCTGATGCCTGATGCCTGATTTCTGGTGTCTGATGGTCTCGCCCCCACACTCCATTGGATGTTAAAAACATGGTCAAAGGAGAAGTTCTACAAGAACAGGTAATATGAATCTCTTCTTTGATCTTCTCAGCGCACGATTAGCGCATTTAACGATTTCAGCATGGCTTCAAACGATCCGTTTCCAGCCGGCCGTACGTCAAACGGCTCTTCTGTGGACTACGAAGATGATGACTCTATGGCATCAATAAAGGGAGAAGGCGAAGACAAGAAGTATGATATGGGTTTTGTTTCGACACAAGCTTCGAGTATGCGGCGCGGTGCCCAAAAGTTCGCATCGGGCTTTTCTGATGCACTGAATGTGTTGAAGCATGAGGCTAGTTTGCAGACGGAAAATCTCTGCACAGCCTGCAAGAAGATACCATTCGCGGAGTGCCTACCAGGCAATGACGAGGAGGATGGTGAGGGAACAGACCGCATCAGTCCAGCACAGGATGCGCTTATATTCTATATGAGCCTCTCCAGCATCCTAAAAAATCGCACTTTTTGCAAATTCTGTAATCTCCTTTTTCAGAGCATTTGCGAGCCAGAATACGATTTGCTTAAGGCACAACATATTCAGAATTATCTACCAGACAGCGAGAACTACAAAAACATGAGGAGTTTCTCAGATTGGATCAAGGAAAACAAATACTGGAAACGAGAATGGGTGGGAGGCGCTGGGCTGTGGCCATTCGGATACGCTGTCGACCGACAACAAGCTGCCAGCTCGACACTGCAGCAAGCGAAGACGCTCTTTCTAGAGGCGGAAGATCGCGACATCAACACCAAGAGCCTCAACACGAACGATCTTGAGGATATGTATAATTCCAGAGATACGGCAGCCGATTCAATAGCTGCAGCTAGCGCAAGCCTCGCGATTATCAATTTAGTCACGAATCAAAAAAGCGAAAACTTGCAGAAGGGGATGGCAACCGCTCAGTGGACGATGGGACAGCTAGCCCTAATACAGAGCAAAAAGCGGAAGCGGTTGCCCTGCATTTTCATGCTCAGAGCTTATCGGAAATACGAAGAGAAAAGAGGAGCCTTGAGTGTACGTGTCTATGGGCATGGACGAGCACCCCTCGCACCTTTAAAGGAAATATGCCATTTCAGTCTACGTTTCGAAAATTCTAGCAGTCCACGTATAAGAAAGCAGCAGATTTGGTATGGGCAAATGATTGGTCCCCGAATCGACGTCCCGTTCTTCAGGCACTGCGTTGAGGCATGCACATCGAAGCACAATTGTGGAGAATTATTGAGCGATTCAGTGAAAAATTCTGTATCAGCTCCAGAATGGGATGAGGCCGCCATATTTCGACTTGTTGACGTGCGTAAGATGTGTATCATGGAGATGAATTTCTCTGACATGGTCCGCTTACGCTCCGACCTAAGGTACGTAGCTTTGAGCTACAGGTGGGGAATTCTACCACTACTGAAGGGCTGGAAAGAGTACAAAACCGATAAAGGGCGACCTTACTACCACAATGAGAAAATGCATAAAACAACATGGACTCGCCCAATCTCATACACACACCTGACTTCAACTAACAAAGTCGCGTTGTCAAGGGCACGTAGTCTCGAGGCCGAAGGTGTACATATACCAAAAACCATCAAACACGCCATCGAGGTCGTTCAAGCCATAGGCGAAAGATTCATGTGGGTCGATCAGCTCTGCGTTCCTCAAGAGGGTGACGAAAAAGTCATGCACGCCAATATACAGCGCATGGGTCATGTATATAACCGTGCCCTTTTTACCATCGTTGCTGGAGACAGTATGCATGCTGATGAAGGATTGAGAGGACTCCATGGCCATCCCAGCCGTGGGAAACAGCTCATGGAAGACGGGATTATCAAAAATGCCCGGATGGTGCTGCCCACGCGCATGGAGCTCAACTATGAAGCTTGGGAGGAGCGGGCGTGGTGTTTCCAAGAGAAACTACTGTCTAGGAGGATGCTAATCTTTGCAGGTGGATTTGCAGTATGGCATTGCCGGGGAGGAACATGGAGGGAGGATGTTAATGCACTGGACGGAGATAGGTCGTTGATTTCGTTTCCATGGCTTAGACTCACACCCTTGCCATCTCTTAGCGATGATATCTCACCAGCAGGATTACAGACTACACGAGAGGATGGGAGTGTGAGACTGATGAGACTACCGTCAATGCACCAGTATATCGAGGCAGTAGAAGATCTGGGTAGAAGAACCATAGGGAAGAGCTACGACATCCTTAATGCGTTTGATGGTCTCGCAAACATTCTTAGTGGCCCAGGATTTCTCAATTCACCGTTCCGAAACGGATTGCCATGCCACTTCTTGGATGTTGCACTCTTGTGGCAATCAGATGAGCCTATGCGCCGCCGTCAAAGCGACTCCGACAGGAGATGTCCGCCAAGCTGGACGTGGGCAGGCTGGGAAGCTGCACAGAACCCGTTGGGATCTGGCAGTAAAGGCGCACGAGTTCGTTATGATCAACCCTTTGACGTCTTGGTCTTGAACTCCGGCATCGTTCAACGGTACCGCAAGTGCGGTGAAGAGCGCATTCGTCCTCGCAAAGGCACGCTGTATGGTGTCCAGAGAAGACTTCATAGTTTCTCCCTGCAGGAACTGGGGCTCTTTGGCATGTCCAACATGAGTGCTAGAGGATTCAGAGACTGGGACTCAGCGGACGCCAGACCAGCACCAAAACCGAGACTAGATATACCACTTCACCAGTTGGAAGAACAACATCTTGTTGTACACACGGAGTTAGTGGAACTAGAGTTAGGTAGCGATTGCTGGAAAGTCCGGACATCGACCAAACGTGCTGGCGATGAGCACTGCATCATCAATTTTCACGATACTGAACCCACCGAAACAGCATCAAAAGCCGAGGTAAGCCAACCAGATCTGCAAATCAAAACAGTTGTGTCCCGAGAACACTGGATCAACACCGCAACGCATCCAAGAGCCGGTACCGTGAAGTTCGATGCCGGTTACAATACAAAAGGCGCAAATTTCGTGACCGCGATCCTATTGTCGGAAGCGCAGTACTTGGGTAACGAGACAAGGCCAGACATTCTAGGCTATCCACTCTATAATATCATACTTGTAGAGGAACTAAACCCAAAAGGTAATGTAAGGGTTATGGAGCGTGTAGGTCTTGGTAGGATATACAAATATGCGTGGAGAGAAGCAGGGGCGAGAAAGGAAGTGGTTTTGTTAGAGTAACGCAAATGATCGTCGATTGTATGAGAAGTTATCAATCTTCTTGGGAAGACAAAATATTAGAAATATGTACATTCCGTCGTCTCGATTAGGCGTTTTCTAGCCAAGCTTCGGTTCTCCAGCATGTACACTAGATGAAGCACAATTCGACACTCCTTCTGTTAATGTCGAGCCTCTCTAACTAAGACCCAGAATCTACCATATAAGAGACTGCTCTTCCACCCATCATCCATTCATGTTACCACCAAACTCACCCGTCAAGTACATATGTCAGTTTTCCGATTTTGGTTACCAAAACGGGGGTTTTACGATGTCTTGGGAAGCAAAATCCAACAAAACGAACACACCGGAAAACAGCGGATGGTCTCGGTATCCTAATTTCCGGTTTCAAATGGCCTTGTGTGCTAGAATATCATTATTTCGGTCTTCTATATGCGCACGTCATGAGTGTCTGAAGGCTAGTGCTGAGGTTTGAGAGGGTTCACGTGATGTTACTTATCGATATCCAAAACCTAGCTAGACACTACCCCACGTATAGAACACAACTACTTTACACCCTCTTTGCGCTTACTGGAGAGGCTTTCACTAAAGAGAAAAAAACTAAAAACAAGCGCTGTTTGAATCTTACTTCAGATAGAGCTTTGATTACTGCAGAGCGTGGGAGTGGAGTTCGTTTCTCACAATCATATATGAGAGTGATGATGGTACATTTTGAACTCCGCTAGCAACGCGCCATGGTCTTCAACTCACCTTTTGGTGCCTCTACTTCTAAGCCCGGTCATGGATTCATCATCATCAACCTGTTGTCCGAAGACAAGCCTGTTCTCGGGACAGTCTCGTATCAATACCCACTTAAGCTAGTCGCGCCAGACCCTCTGCCACCACCAAGCCATGACGATCAGAAAAACAACGAGACCAGGCCTCCAAATTCAGGCCTAATACATACAGTCTTCCTACTCACCTACGGCGGTGGCATTGTCGCTGGGGACAGTATCGACTTGGAAGTCAAATTGGATGACAAGGCTCGGCTTATCCTGTTAACCCAAGGCTCGACCAAGATCTTCAAGACACTCAGTCCAGATCTGGTCTCCCGACAACATATGACAGTATATCTGAAACATGATGCTGCCCTGGTCTATCTTCCAGACCCGGTGCAGCCATTTGCCCACACAGCCTTTTCCCAATCTCAGATCTACCATCTCGATAAAGGACAAGGCAACTTGTGCGTATGCGACTGGGTCACGAGCGGGCGCTCTGCACGGGGCGAGAACTGGGACATTTTCGAGTACAAGAGCCGGAATGAAGTGTGGACGTTGGACGAGGCAGGGAAGAAGAGGCTTCTTGTACGGGATAATCTGATTCTAGACAAACATGGCAGAACGGGGATGCCGCTCGCCTCACGCATGGACAATTACTCTGTTTTCGGCACCATGATTATTCGAGGACCAGTGTTCTCGTCACTTTCCAAGTTCTTCTTGGATGAATTCGAGGCACTGCCGCGTATTGGTGGTAGAAATTGGGGGGACAGCGTGCAGCCTGAGCTTCTGCCACACGAGCAAAGGCGGCATGCGAGGCAGCAGAGAGAGAAGGCGGATGGTCTGATATGGAGTGCGGCAAATGTCAGGGGCTTTGTGCTGGTCAAGTTTGCAAGTAGGGAGGTTGAGGGCTCAAGGAATTGGTTGAGGGACATGATCAAGGAAGAGGACTCAGTGCCGAGGCTCTTTGGGGAGAGAGCGCTGTTGTGCTTGAAGTGAGACGTGCATGGGGAATGGACAACTAGACAGCAGCCAGATAGCAGAAGGCATTCAACCGACATGTTGCGCTGTCTAGTCCATGTGTTGTCCGTCTTGAGTTGGCGAGACGAGTGGAGGGGAGCCCTGGAGGTGCCCCACGCGGGCGCATGGCCCAAGCACCTTTGCTCAGCGCACCGAAAGTCGAGTGTGACGTGCATAGCCGCCTCTTCGAGAGCGTGCAACGTTGCCAACCGCGTGTGATAGCAAGACGCCAGATCCTATGCTACACCAAATCCCTATCCTCGCCCTCTCGTCGTCGCAAACATGAGCGGCAGGCTCGTTGCGGGCCGCCTTGCCCCCCTCGCACGCCGTTCACCGCTCCTCACTCCACGCTTCTACACTACACATTCGCTCCCCGCCGGCGGACTCTTGCGAAATGAAGCCGCGCTCAGGCTTGTGAAGCGCCGGCCATGGCCCCTCGGTAGCTACGCACTGCACAATGTCCCCGCCACGCGATCGATATCTTTTGCAAGAGTGATACCCAAACTCGTGGGCAAGTTTGCGACTGTGGGTGCCGCCACCGGAGGGGCTATCATCGCCGGTGTCTCGTATATCCAGTACCAGGCAGGCCAGGCAGGCACCTTTGCACTCGACCTCTTCCACCGCACCAAAGATGGCGCCAGCGAGTTGGCTGGCGGGGCAATTAATACGGCAAATGGATTCTTCGATCAGATAGAAAAGGGGTTCAAGTCGACCAAGGACGAACTTGAGAACGTACAATACCCGGAATGGCTACAAAAGCTTCTTGCCAAAGATGAGGCAGGTGGTTCAGGAGGCAATGGTAGTGGTAGAGGTCCGGAGGAGCCCAAACAGGGTGGCTCTGGCACTGCCGCGGCCGGCGCATCAGCTGCTGCTGCTTTTGGGTACTCACAAGATGACGATGACGATGAGGACAGACAGCAAGGAGAAAAGATTGCGCGGGATGAGCAAATGATGATGCTCACCAAGAAGATGATTGAGATACGTGGACTGCTACAGACTGTGGGACAATCCGAATCACTCACACTGCCGTCCATTGTCGTCATTGGATCACAGTCCTCCGGAAAGAGTTCAGTCCTCGAGGCTATCGTTGGCCATGAATTCCTCCCCAAGGGACACAATATGGTTACCCGTCGACCCATTGAGCTGACGCTCGTCAATACCCCTGATGCGCGTGCAGAATACTGCGAGTTCCCCGCCATTGGACTAGGCAAGGTGACGGACTTTGGTCAGGTCCAGAAGACACTGACAGACCTCAATCTGGCTGTACCGGCTAGCGACTGTGTGTCCGATGACCCCATCCAGCTCAGGATTTACTCGCCAAATGTGCCAGATCTCTCCTTGATCGACCTTCCAGGATACATCCAGGTCGTTGGCCGGGACCAGCCCCCGCAGCTCAAGGAGAAGATTGCACAGCTTTGCGACAAGTACATCAGGGCACCCAACGTCATTCTCGCCATCTCAGCAGCCGACGTGGATCTGGCCAACAGCACTGCGCTACGAGCATCGAGAAGAGTGGACCCCCGTGGCGAGAGGACCATTGGCGTTATTACCAAGATGGATCTTGTAGATGCCGACCGCGGTGCTAGCCTGCTTAACGACCAAAAGTATGCTCTCCGTCTAGGATACGTTGGAGTCGTGTGCCGTGTACCCCCTGGTGCAGGTGGCTCTAAGCTCTTCAGCCGTGGCAACGGCAACATCTCCAACGCCATCACAAAGAACGAGAATGCATACTTCTCATCACACCCAGAGTTCTCTGAACGACCAGAGCTCGCTGTGGGTACTCAGAATCTCAAGAAGAAGCTTATGCATGTGCTTGAACAAACCATGGCTGGCAGTCTTAAGACGACTAGTGAGGCTATTCAGAGAGAGCTCGAAGAGGCAAGGTACGAGTACAAGGTTCAGTACAATGAACGACCTATCAGCGCTGAGTCGTACCTGGCCGAATCACTCGACGCATTCAAGCACTCATTCCGCGGCTTTACAGAACAGTTCGGTCGCCAACAAGTTCGGGACCTACTCAAGCACGAGCTAGACCAACAAGTACTCAACTTGCTTGCACAACGCTACTGGAACAGGCCTTTTGATGACCTCAACGTTCCTTTCCCAGAAACCGATCCTCTGAGCAACCTTGTAAAAGCAGACATTGATGGAGAGGACCAGATCTGGCGAATCAAGCTCGACAGCTCCAGCGCTGCTCTGACAAAGCTTGGTGTTGGACGGTTAGCGACCAACGTCGTTGCAAGCGCACTCCAAGCTCACATTGACCGTCTCATCACGAACTCACGCTTTGCCGCGCACCCCTTTGCTCGACAAGCTATTACCGACGCATCGAACTCTATCTTGAAAGACCTTTCTTATGATATTTCGGATGAGCTGGAGATTTGCATCAAACCGTACAAATATCGGATTGAAGTCGAGGACAGCGAATGGGCCAAGGGCCGAGAGAATGTGACTGCAGTCCTCAAAGAAGAGCTCAAGGTTGTAGAAGCAGCTGTCAAGCAACTCGAGGACCAAGTTGGCGGCCGCAAGAAAGTCCGAGATGTCATGACCTTTATCGACCGTGTACGGAGCGGACAGGTTGTCTTGGAAGGCGATGGTGTGGGTGGAGCCGGCGGCTTCAGCTCTGCACTTTTAGCAAAGGGTACGTCCATGAAATCTTCCATGTTAACACAGGTATAACTAACGAATTCACCAGGCCGTGAAGCAGTCTTCCTCCGCGACCGCATTGACGTCCTGAAACTCCGCCTCACAGCCATAAAGAGCAAGCAATGCGCCAGCAAAAAGAACAAATACCACTGCCCGGAAGTCTTTCTCGATGCTGTCGCAGACAAACTAACTACGACCGCCGATCTCTTCCTTGACGCTGAATTGCTCTCAAAATTCTACTACATCGTAAGCTCTTCTTCCTGGTTGCCTCCTTACACCGCAATGACCCATCCATCTAACCTTTCTTTGCTACAGTTCCCCCGCGAACTCGACGCCCGCCTCGGCCGCGGCCTCTCACAAGACGAAATCGAGCGGTTCGCAAAGGAAGACCCCAAGATTAAGCGCCATCTCGATGTTGTGCGCCGCAAGGACTTGCTCGAGCATGTGCTCAAGGAGATGGAGGGCTTACGGCAGTTGGAACAGAGGGAGAAGCGTATGATGGGGCGTAGGGAGGATAGAGGGGATCGCGAGAGGAGGAAGAAGGGGTGGAGTATGTTTTAGATTCCATTGGACTTTTGTGTCCCCAGGGTGGAGCTCTTTTTTTCTTTTCTTTTTTTGACGTTGAAATGAGGATTAAGATGGAAACACGCTTGATATGACGATGGCGGTGGGAGGGGGAAATAACATGTTACCACGGCCTCTTGTTGCTTCTCTTCTTTTTTTTCTTTCAACTTTCTCAACTCTCCCCCAGCAATACTTCGTGTGCGTGTGTGTGTGTGTAAAAACTGCTCTTTGTCCATGTACTCAAAAAAAAGAAGAAGAAGAAGAGGGGGATGTTCACGATTGGACACAAAGAAAAAGCAGTGTGGGTTAGTATTCAAGTGGTAAGATTTTCTAGAATTCCATCTAAATCTTCGTCATACTCTCGAGATCCTTTTTTACATGACAAAAATCGTAAAGGCGGGGGGGTATCTTTAAAGAAATGCGCAAAACAAGTAGATCCAAAAGGAGATTTATCACATAACACCCCAATGCTTCTTAACACTCCAATCCAACTCGGTCATTCCCTTTAAATCATCGCCGTTGAGGTACCCAACGCCTTCCTCAACGAGGATCCTCCAGACCCGATTGCGCAGGCCAATGGGCCACTTGGGAGCGCTCCAGTAGCGAGATTTGAGGCCGCGCTCCTCAGCGGTGCGGATCTGATCGCGGATTTTGGCGAGTTGGGCCGAAGACAAGCGGCCGAACCAGAGCCAACCGACTGTGGAGCCCCAGTTTACAGAGGCGTAGTACGAGTTTGTGCTGTCAAAGTGGGAGTTTGGGGTTGTGCCGACGGTGCCTTGGCCGTCGGGGGTAATGGTGTCGGAAGAGGAAGATGTGTTGTTTAGTTTGTCGAGGGGTGCGTCGAAGAAGATGTCGCGGTAGGTGGAGTTTGCGGTGATGAGGTCGAAGGGGGCGTTGCCAGTGGCGACGACGGTGATGGCGCCCGAGATGACAGACGTGCCGTTGTAGTAGGATAGATAGCCTTTTTCGCGGAGGGCGGAGAGGTGGTTGGATACTACGGGGAAGATGGCGTGGCCGTCGTTTTTGAAGTCGACAAGGAGGACGAGAGTTTGCGAGGGTTCGGTGTCGAAGACGCCGTTCTTGGTCGTGGATGCAGTTGCAAAGTCGCTTACGTTGTTCTTGTGGTCGAGCATCTTCGTCAGAGGATCGACATACATGGATCGGAAGGTGTTGTTCTGTGTGAGGGCGTTGGTATTGTGGCCAACAAACAGTTCATCGTCGAAGAGCCAGACGTCGGCTTCGACGCCAGTGCAGCCCCAATGGAGGGCGTCGTAGAGTGGGACTCGGCGCCAGTAGTCGTTGTGTGAATGACATGGTACAGGCGTTACGTCACGTGTAATATCCAATCGTTGTGCCTCGTTGTATTGATTCCAATCCAAGCCCGGTAGTGCATGGTCGTCGAGGAACACGGGAATATATCCTAGTAGCACATTGACGATGTGAAGGACGCCACTACGAAAGTTAGCTTGTTGGGTCTTTGGTCACGAGGGAATGCGGGGTTCTGTCGTCAAGCGAGACGTGCACGACGGACACTTACAAGAAGATGATTACCAATAGCGGGATGACAGCAAAGGCTCTGACAGCATGCTTCTTTTGGAATCGGTATCTGGGGGGCTGCTTCTTTTCGTCTGGTAATCGCACGAGGCCAAAGTCATCATTGGCGCAGGGCTTTCCATTCCGTCTCCGGATGCTCATTCTCAGACGTTGCCAAAAAGTCGGTCGTCGTCGGGGTACTATGTCGTCGTCTTCGTCCGAGCTATACTCTGCACCATCTCCATCCTCGAGGTCATGCACGGGATAGGGTGGTGACGACTGCTTGGCGAAGGAAGGGGCTGGGCTGGGAGAGGCGTGGCGCAGGAGGGGCTGGGTGGTGAGTGGTCGTGATGTTGCCGACATGTCAGGCACGAGCCAATTGGCAGCGGGGATCTCACAAGATCTGTCAACCGGACCCTGAGCGTGGGGCAAATGCAACTGGAAGCGACTATGCAGCGCCCTTGTTGGTTATTCGTCGTCGTCGTGGTTTGGAGCAGCAATCGAGGGGACAAGGTGCGTCTAAAAGCACTTTGCGGCTGCGAAGGAAAAATGCAGGTTTTAAGACACCTTCCTGTTCGATAGCTGGGCAATGGCGCTGCAGACGTCCCGCTACGAGGTCCAGACTATTGATGGCGGCGACTGTGCGTTTGAGGCTGCTAGTAAACCGGGACAATGCACGTCCACACCTTTGTCGATAAGAGCCGCGTCCAGATGCAGGAACCACGGCCGTTGACGGTGGCCAGGTGGCGCCCAGGTGGTGCCAGTGAGTTGGAGTCAAACAAAAGGAGGTTTGGGGTGGGTGGGTGTGTGCAAGAAACAGGAGGGGTGTCGGAAGCTTCTTATTGCGAAACGAGGTGCGACCAGCCAAACCAGCCGCGAAACGGGGTGCAAACGACCAAGGGAGCCGGTGTGGGGAAGACAACCAGAGTTTGGAACAGATGCGTTGAGGCTTTCCGCACGTGTGCTACGCCGTGGGCGAGAGTTGTGCAGTGTGAGAGCGAGTACAAGCACGCAACCTCCTTGGGGCTTCTGATTGGTGGATAGAAACAAGAGTTGCAGACAGCTTGGGCAAAGGGCAGCGCCTCAGGTGGGCATGCAGCTGGGCAGCTGATGAGGATAGTTATAGGAAACAGAAGAGCACCTTGGTCCAGCTTATTCGGCTAGTGGACATGGCCGGAGCTCATGCCGTTGCTGTCGGTGTGCACAGTAAGTATATACGCGGAGGGTACTAGACGGCGTGGTGCTGGTGCTGGTGCTGGTGCTGATGCTGGGCTGGACAGGCAATCGGACCGAAGGCTGTCGCAACGGATTCCAGATAATGTCATTAGTTGCGAGACTATGGATTAAGCCTATTGTTGCGGCATTTTGGGCATGCTGATGTGAGCTGGCAGGCCTATGGGAACCACGTCTGCGTATGGGCGGCGCTTTCGGAGCCACTGTGTCGTGTCAGCCACACCGGCCGGGCGGTGCTATTTGGCCGTCAAGCCACATGCAATAATCTCCTGCACTCCGGATTTGGGCTACGCTGCAGAAAACACTTCCAAATCCTATCCCACTGCGGGGTTGAAGCCGCGTAAAGCTCGCTAAGCAGGCCAAGCATTACAGGGTCCACCTCTTCTTTCCCAAACATCCCTGCTCCATGTCACCAACTTTTTTGCGACCGCGACCACCACTGCCCGTTGCTGTATCCTATCCGACCCCCGCCGCCCGCCATGCCTCACAAGCACAGGCGCATCGAAGACGACGACTCGCAGTACGTCACCCACCCGTCCGACTGCTGCCATCCCACTAGCCCTAACACCACCCTGTAGATTCGACCTCCCACCCACCCTCCACGCCGCTCCTCTCGCCGTCGGCAAGGCTCGCACATTCAATAGCGCTCCAAAGACCAAGAAGCGAAAAGTAGCCCAAGTCGAAGGTTATGGCGCAGACGACACTCCCAAGGCCTTTCAGCGCCTCATGGCCTTTTCCAGCGGAGGCCAGAAGAAGCGCTCAGGCCTTGACGATGGCTCCGTGAAGCCCAAGAAACAGAAGAAGGAACAACAGTCGGCGACAACCGCAGATACGACCAAGGAGGAAAAGAGCACAAAGACCGACGAGCAGCCAACACAGCCAACCCCGGCATTGAAGATCCAGCCCGGAGAGTCCATGGCCGACTTCCGTGCCCGTGTAGATCAGGCCCTCCCACTATCAGGTATCGCAAAATCTGGCAAGAAGATTGCCGGCCTCAGCGACCACCGTGTCACCAAACACGAACGGAGACTCAAGCGTCTACAAAAAGGATGGCGAGAAGAGGAAGCAAGGTTACGCGAAAAGGAAATGGAGCGAAGGGAACTAGCAGAGGAAGAAGAAGACGAGCTGGATGCCATGTGGGAAGACCATACCGCCGACCTCCCTACAAAACGAACCGTAGACGGTAAGAAGAAGAAGGCCAAAAAGGGCAAGCGCAAGCTCAAGGTCGGCGAAGTCGCACATGACAGCGAAGACGAGTGGGAGGCCCTCAAGAAGAAGCGAGAGGAGAGAAAGGGACTCAACGATATCGTTCATGCTCCTCCAACATTCACAAAGACTCCAAGAGAAATCTTCAAGGTCAAGAATGGTGCGGGTGCGAAGGTTGCGAATGTACCGAATTCCGCGGGTAGTCTGAGCAAGAGAGAGCAGTTGGGCGAGGAGCGCCAGAAAATGATTGATGCTTATCGGCAGATGATGGCTGCGAAGAAGGCTTGATCCACAACATGCCTTTCTTTCTTCTCAAATCCTCCCCAACATGAACAAAAAGTTTAATGTACAAAATACTTGAATCAAAATCGGCTCAATGCCCCTCCCCCTGACGTTCACTTTCCACCCCTCAATCTCTCTTTCTTCTCATCTCTGAATTCACATCCATACATCATGTACCACCCGTCAACCACCAAAACACCTGTTACTAAACCCCCTTGTATGTGCATATCGGCCCAAGTTCTAGAACCAGTCTAGCCACACACACACACACACACACACACACACACACACACACACACCTTCAAGCATACTAATCACCCTTATAAAACGCACGGTTCTAGATCTTCCCCCACCCCCTCCCCTCCCCTTCATTCCCGTAAAACAAGTACTTTAAACATGCAGCGCTATGACTCGGTTATATCCGGGCAAGAGGGGGAGTCGGAGGCGGCTTCGGTAAAGTGGGCCGCGTCATCTACCTTCGTAAATGATTTCATCTAGGTTTTCTTTAGTTGCCGTTTTATCCTGTTTTCCTGTTTTTTTTTAAAGGTCGTTTTGAGGGACGCCTAAGGCAGAAGTGCTGTGTTATGACGAGGGAATTTGTAAGTGGGGATGGTGGTAAGGTGAGTGCGATGGCGCTTGTATGTGCGGGGGTTTTTTTCTTTTTTAAAGGGGGGGGGGAGGGGGTAGTGAGGTTAGGTGCAGCAAATGTCGTGATACGAGTTTATTGGCTTGTTTCAAGGTGGTAATGATGATGAGGCTTTTTCTTTCTTTGTGTGTGTGTGTGTGTGTGTGTGTGTGTGTGTGTGTGTTATGACGACAAGGGGAGAAAGATTCAAGATTGTTTTTTTTCTCTCTTGGATTGGAATACAGGGATCAGGTTATTCCTGGGTGGTTTGTTCAACATTATGTTTTAGAGTTCAGGTAGGAATGCTTGGTTTAACTACGTATGGTATGTATTTTGGAGTCTGGATATGCAAGAATAATTTACTTCTAGAGAATGTAAGTGGGGGGTTGCTTGTACGGTGGAATATTGTTCAGAATTGCTATTTTTCGTTGCACTGCTGCTCAGTATTATTGGAACAAGAATAGAGACAGCAACTTATTGTCTGTATGCCTTGTCTGTACAAGTTCGCGAATCTAATTCGGTTGATACAAAGAGAAACAGATATCTTTGTTTTGATGAGGTGTATGCATTGATTTGTGCTGATGACTTTGCATTTCGACTTCTTGAAGACTGTACAGAGGAACTTTCTTGTTATCATAGTGGATCGGTTCACAGATTCAAGCATACTTTGTCCTTGTCTTCGGATTGATTGTCAGTATGATATAACTTATCCTATTCCACTAGTTCAGGCACACTGTGATGTCTGTTTCTTCCGACTTGCTCCTCGTCTTGACGACTGTGCAATGCACCATGCTTAGCAACTAGAGAGCCTATCATCCACACCACATTCAAGAATTATGAGCAATCGCTGCGAGATCTGAATAAACCTGCAGCGACAAGCAAAAGATGTATCACTTTGAATCCAACAAGCACAATCCTGCAATATCTATCTCAGAGTGACACAATCACAATACCACTGAGCCCTGATCCACACATGCCTAGCCCCCTCGCCTCCTACCTACCCAAGAATCCTCTAATCCACTCAGCCACCTACGACGTACTCATTCATCCCAATTTTTCCTCAAGCACGGCCATCCTCGCAATAAACTCTGTGCTGAAGAGCGTGATGCTTCACTCTGAACCGCAGAGATGGACCCGGAAACGGCAACTTTGCATGCCGAAACCTTATCCTGTTGGAATCCAGTCGTAAAGTTATTAATAATACGAGCGCCTTGACTCCCCCAAACAATGCCTGGTTTTGCATCCCTACAATCGCCATTAATGATGTGTCAATAGATAGAGGTAAGAATATTGATTTCGTGAATCATCCAACTCTATGGATAAGCAGGGCCGTTGAACCTGAACTCCCTAGTCTATCGTGTGCGTGTTTCATACATGTCTATCGATTAGGTAACAAGCAAGCGTTCAGAAACAAAGCCTAAGCTCAGGCTTCAGCCTTGACCGGCACGCCCTCCTTGATGGCGAGCTTCTCAACACCTTCAGCTAGCTCAGTGCCGTTGGTCTCTCCAGCCACGGCAGGTGTAGCTGTATCTTTTGAGGCGGCTGCTTCCGCCTGTTCAGTCGCTGCTGGCACTTCGGCCTTTCCAGAGTTGAGGCTCGGCTCGTCTCCACCCCACAAGTAGATTTCGCTCTCTCCAATGATCTTGCCAGCCTTCTCCCACCGCTCTTTCCTTTGCTGTCTCCTTTCAGTGACGAGCTTGTCAAGAGCAGGCCAGTATACAGAGTGGTCGTATTTGAAGTCCACATCTCCGCCAGAAACCTTCATGAGCTGAGAAGCGGGGATATGGCTTGGAAGGGGCTCGTTCGTCTTCATCTTCGATTTGGTGACGGGATCGATGAAGGGTTGGATAAGCTTCAGGAACGTAGTGACAAACCAGGGAACTATAGTAGGTTTAGTAAACACGAGTCAAATCTGGCCAAGGTAGCGCTTACCATTTGTGAGCAGTGCCCTGCCAAGTCTCTCGGGGTAGTGGTTCTGCAAGATGTAAAGAACCTGCTTTACTGTGGCCATGCTAGGGACTCCTCCAGATCCAGTGTTCTTGAAGTCAATCAACAGTGCTAGGCCCTCCTGGCCTGGCGGATGAATGTCGATAGTGCGCTCCAGCATGTAAACCAAGTGTTGGACCTGTTTAGGGGATTCCTTGGTGTTCTGGTTCTGGGGCAATAGGTAGAGGCATGGCCTTCCCTCCTTGTCGAATCCCAGCAAGACCTGCTTGCCAGAAGCATTTTCCTCGGAAATGTAGTCGGCAGTGAAGGTGTCGGTGCCGTACTCACGCCGCCATACCAGCGAAGAGCGTAGGCGTTCTGCAGCTTGTTGGACATTCCACTTTACAGCACGGAGATATCGGAGAAGACATTCGCGGGTGAGCCACATGCGCTCATCGTCAGTGATGGGAGATGTTTCGGTGGCATTGGCCAAAGTCGTGGGCAGCGCATCCCAGGTGCGAACATCGGCAAGGAGCTGGTCGTATTTGGTCTGCTGGTCGGCGGTCAGGGCCGGGGCTGCGGGTGGCTTGCAGCCCTCAGCGGGTTCTGCGAATGGGCCCATTGCTGACATGTTGAGAGATTTAGGACACAAATTGAGAGACTAAGAGTCTGTAGAATTATTAGGGAATTGAGAAGCAAAGAAGGAAACCACAGTCGGGTTGTTGAGGATAGGGTCAGCGCTGGTAAACTTTCGGGAGACATAGTGGACCCTTGCATACTGATCCTCCGGGCTAGACCACGTCTATTCTAGCCCAGATCCAACGCGTCTACTACGCGTCTTCCCTGTCTCCACGCGCAAAGTGCTTTCGCATCTAGCACCCCATACCATCCACAATCCGCATTACAATGGACGACGTAGCGACAGAACTCACCGAGCGCTTTGAGCGCTACTGTGACACCAAGGATGATGAATTCCCCGCCGATGTTCTCGCCGAATTGCAGTCCATGTGCCGGTTATACTCCATCTCGCCCGAAGAGTTGGACTTCAAGTGGCAGGCGTACAACATGAAAATGGGGGGAGAAGAAAACAAAATGGACGTCAAGACGGCACAAGATTTTAAGAAGACTATACAAGATGCATTGGAGCGAGAAAGCAGAGGCAAGGCACAGCAAAGAAACGAAGTCAAGCGGGGTCAGCCAACACCAAGAGCAAAGGGCGGGGACATGTATGACATGTATGTTCAGCGACGGCAAGGTTACAGATTACAACACGCTGACTGAGGAAAAAAGGCTAGAAGGGCTTGTTCCCAATACACCACGCCCAAGTGCTCCTAGCGGGGTTAATGGCAGCACTGTCAAGCGCAAAGCCAACTTCCAAACACCAGGAGGCAAAGCGAACAAGGCACATGAAATGAGCTCACCGGGAGGCTTCATGACACCAAAGGCCGAGACTTCGGGCGGACCGTAGGCATTCAAGCAACACTGCAGAAGCACCCTCTAACCATCGCTCAGTGTCTTTGACTTCGCCTCTCGTACCAACGCGAACGATATTACAGAACAGTTTATGCAGGGGGATATTGCTATTCCAGAGCCACCTTCGGAGGAGCCCAAGGAACCCCGCATCAAACTCAAGGCCAACACAGACATGTCCAAGTTCTCGTACCGGACCATGGCAATGAAGCTTTCCGAAGCATCAGAAGTACTGGACGACAGGATTGACGAGTTCCGTGATATCCTCAGAGAATCTGCAGGTCTCGATGAGAGTGCATTTGGCAATCCCAACTACGCATCGCCCAGCGAGATTATTGCTGTTGGAAGGATAGCGTGCGATACGAGCGAAGGCAAGCTCAACACAGCATCACTTGTGCTTGAAGGCTCGCGGCGGCATGGCTCGGGGCGTCGCGTACCGCTCAACATCGAGGGACTTCAGTCATACAATTTCTTTCCCGGTCAAATTGTTGCGCTGCGCGGTACCAATGCATCTGGCGACTCTTTCGTGGTCTCCGAGGTCCTTTCACTGCCACTTCTGAACCCACCTGCTACAAAGCCGGACGAGCTTGACGCCATCAACGCACGATACCTTGACACGCCCGACTCTGATCCAGACAATGTCCGACCTCTGACTCTAATGATTGCATCTGGACCCTACACAACCGAGCAAAACCTTGATTTTGCACCTCTACATGCTTTTCTAGATAAGGCTGCAGAAGCATATGCGGACTCCATCATCCTGATTGGTCCCTTTCTCGACGCAGAGCATCCTCAAATCCGGTCGGGAGATTTCGATGCACCACCAGGCGTGAGTCCAGATCAGGCGACTATGACTGATCTATTCCGCCACCACATCTCGAGCGCCATCCAAAGCTTCAATAAGCGCGTACCGACGTGTAATGTTCTCCTGGTACCTAGTCTAAGGGATGCACATCATCACCATGCTGCTTTCCCACAGGACAAGTTTATCAAGAAGGAGCTTGGCTTTGGCGCAGCAGGGAAGATGGTGCAGTGCGTCACGAACCCCATGACTGTCAGCATGAATGAGATGACAGTAGGCATGTCTTCGCTTGACAACCTTGATATGCTCCGAAGAGAAGAGCTTGCAGGTGGCAAAGCGCGCGCAACAAACATTTATGAACGGTGTGCTCGCAACCTGATCGAGCAACGGAGTTTCTTGCCTCTATTTCCGCCTACTGGGAGAGAGAAGCAGCAGTTCATGCCTACGCCAATTGAGGAAAAGGTGATGAAGAGCAATATTGCTAATGGTGAAAGGAAAGAAGGAGAAGAGGCAGACGAGGAGCAAATGCCTAGTCCGTTCCTCCCGCTTGGTACCATGCTAGACACTAGCTATCTCAAACTGGGCGAGATGCTCAACGTACGGCCTGACATACTGATCACACCCAGTGTGCTCCAGGGCACTGTCAAAGTATGTATACCTGGTGGATGTATGGTAATGCAATATGCTAACAAAATGATAGGTCGTTGAGTCTGTACTGATTGTCAACCCTGGCACATTGGCCAAACGGCGGGCAGCTGGAACGTATGCACGGGTGATTGTTCAGCCTGCTGCCGTCAGCGATGCGGACCGGGAGAAGGGGATAGCTATGGCACATAAGCTCTGGGAACGAACGCGGGTGGATATTGTACGAATCTAGGCATTTGTTGCTGTCCTGCAACTTGACACCGAGTGAATATATGCAATGAAGGCTACGAGTACGAATTTGTCAAGTTGGAACGTGCGTGGGCTTTTGAAAGCCTGTGGTTAATGTGGGCTGATGCTGTGACGTTGGTGTTGGGGATTGAATGATGTTCTGCATGGGTTTCCAACGCACATGATTCCGCGTCAGTTTTGCGACTCGGCCACTAGTAGTCTGTGTAGGCGGACGTGCTCATTTTGACTACTTATTTGGTAGGACTCACCAACGTCACTAGTACAGGGTGGCCAGTGAGGCTCCTGGTGATTGGGAAACACGCATCCACCTTCACCACGAATGCCGTACTTGTCAGAGCAAGAGTCGGTCGCATTCCATACACTGGGTATGCCAGTATCGCTTGCCATTTGCGGTAGTATTAACCAGGCCTGTTCCTTATGGTACTTGTTCGCGGCTTGGCCCGTCAACTGCTGCTCTGCCTCAAGCGCACAGATATCGACCAGGCGCACGAGCTTCCCTGTGCCCGACCAAAGCGCAACTCTCTGAACCCTCACCACTTCAACATCGACAACCTCCAGCCCACGGCCAAGGTCACACCGGCCCTACTCATGCCACCCAAGCGCAAGACGACAGATGACGGCACAGCCACGGGCCATTCCGAGAAGAAGACGAGGGCTGTCAGGAAAGGCAAAAGTACTGCATCGGGCAATGATTTAGGTAAGCCAAAGACGCCGTTTGCCATGGCCTGGTTTGATCCAAGAAAGAGTTGGTGGTGAGGGCAGCGGGCAGCGGGCAGCGGGCAGAGGTCGAGATGCAGAGTAACCCTGTTGCTGCGGGCCTAATTCCGAGGCATGGCATGTGGCTTTGCGACCTGAGGGGCCAATGGTGGGCTGTCGGCGGGGTCGGACACTCGCTGCGTCACCAGCTTGCCCAAAGTCCCGCCAGCCCTACCATACAACCCCGTTCTGTAATTTCGAGGCGCACCACCGGGACTCTATACGTCCTGGACCCTCGCACTCTTCCCCTTTTTCTACTCCTCTATCCCTAGACTCTGCACTAGACTCTGCCCCGCCCCTGTTGCCACTGCGAGCAGCCCGGCCACCACTGCCCATCTCAAGCTTGCAACCACCACCCAGCCGTCTTACCTACCGCGCTAATCCAAAATGCCGGCAGTCTACAGTTCCCAGCAAAAGGCTGCTATTCAGCAATTCATGAACTTCACTCAGCTCGACCGTAACTCAGCGATAAGGGCGCTGAAGAGCTACGGGTGGGACGCCCAGAGCGCCGTAAACGCGTATGTATAACTCTCTTTTGCTTTTTCCACCACCCCATCCGTGGTTGTTGTGAACCGCCTATACACACGGTCACCACACAGTACACATGCAGCTTCGACCCAAATGTGAAACCGACCACCCTGCATTTGTCGGTTCAAAGTGGCAACAGACCCAAAGAGAGGTAGCACAACCACCAGCAGGCAATTGCATCAAGGGCCCACACATATACCCAGAGAACATAGGCCTTTGTTCACATCAGAAGCCACAGAGAGCCAAATGCGGACCACTAAGTGCCAAGATACGACCAAGATTGCCATTCCTGGAAGCATAGCCGGAGTAGTCACAAACGACAACCCTTGGAAGGAATGGCACACAACAGTGCTCCTGCACCATGGACAGCCCTTTTCATGAAACTTGCGCGATTGCTACTTCTCTCGGTTCAGATGCGCAACGTTATGTCCTCCTTCCACATGTTCTCAGCCCACAACAAATCGTCCAGCAGGTTTTTTCCACCTGTCTTCGCGCTGAACAACCGACCACATACAAGGCATATACAACGATTGCAGCAACACAAAAGGTTGCAAGACACTTCGGCCGTCATTGTATTGAGCTGTCGTAGTTTCAGCAAGCGCCTCAGTCCGCCATGTTTGGTTCCTCGCAGGACAGGGCCAGACTGCTTGCAGGGCGTAACCGACGACAGCGTATCAGCTTGAGTGGCTCGTGTTCGAGTTCACGCTCCACATCCTCTTCACGTGATACCCTTGAGCTATGCAGTCCGACAACGCTTCTAGATCCCAACGCCGAGCTACCGCCCGTGGAGGAAGAACAACCTTTCCAAGAGACTGCCCGGCCTTCTGTCACTGTTTCAGATCCCGGGAAAAGGGGGATTGAGCCAGATAATAGACGCTCGACCTCACATTCTGCCTCCACACTGCCCACTAGGCCACGCAATCTCCAGCTAGAACAGCACAGGCTTCAAGCTGAACACCTCAGTCAGGTGCTGTACAATACGCTTAGCCTTCCAAATTCTGCCGTCACTTCACACGATCTGTTTCGATCATCTCACCATGTCGAATATGGGAGTTTGGGCATTCCCGCAGTTACGTCCTCCAACATACGTAACATTACGGCTCCTTGCCGGGCTACTTATTTTCCGAGTTCACCGGTCCTTGATTTGATGAAAGCTTTTGACTCTTCAGAAGCTCCCTTTCTCAGGACTTCTGCATCCGAATTTCATCTGCGTCCACAGCCAGTTGTGTCGTTGCGAGGTGGTTTGGGGAGAATGCAGAAGCTCGATGACCAAGAAGCAGAATATGCACTTCAAAAGCATACTCTGAGAGTTCAGAATCGCCAGGACTTTGGCACCTATGCATCGATTTGGGACAAGGAAGTCAGCGGTTACCACCAGCTGAATCTTGCCGATAAAGTCAGGTGGCTTCCACCACAGGCGTGGAACGAACCGATAACTGCGGGCCTTTCGTACGAAGAGTTCCTCGGCCTGTTGGACACTGAACAAACATGCCGCTTTGGCAAGCTATTTGGTCCCTCTCCAGGCAGCGACTTCCCATGGGCATCGTGCGTACGTGTGGCATTTCTCCACTCTTTGAACGAGAAATTGAGGGTTGCATTTGTGAACGCCATCAAGGGGAGTATCTCCAACAAGTGGAAGCCCGAAATTATAACCGCGAAAAACGACAGTAACAATCCTCCTGTCATGCTGTCGCTCCTTCTATGTGTTGTGGAAGAGTTCGTGCAGCTCATCCCCGCCCATTACTAATTATCTCCATTTGCAACTTTTAATATCACAACCTTGATTTCAGATTTATAGACACTAACGCCATGAAATAGGTACTACAGTGGTGGAAGCACTCCCCAGGCTTCTCCTGCGGCCAAGTCTGCTCTCAACGCGCTATTTGACAAGTACCGAGAGGCCGATGCCCAGGACAAAGATGTCGTTGGAGTCGAGGGTACCATGAAGTTCTTCGCGGACATCGGCGTCAATGCTGAAGATCTAGATGCTCTAGCTACTTTTGAAATCATCCAGGCGCCCACAATGGGTGAGATGAGCCGTGAAGGTTTCGTAAAGGGCTGGACAGAGCGCAAGTAAGTCAAATGGCAGAATCTGTTTGACAGGTGCTATTCAGATTCTAACTGAAATATAGCTGCGACACCGTTGAAAAACAGAGGATGTACATCCAAAGTGTAAAGGATGAGCTTCCCAAGAACAAGGAGCTCTTCACCCGGGTGTACAAGTTCACATTTCCTCTTGCCAGGGCACAGGGCCAGAAAGCAGTCGCCCTCGACAGCGCAGTCGTATTCTGGGAACTTCTATTTGGATCACCGTTGTCAGCAGTGAAGTGGTCGACTGAGAAGACACCATGGCTGAGCTGGTGGACCGAGTTTGTTAACTCTCAGTGGAAAAAGAGCGTCAACAAGGATATGTGGAACGAGACACTCAAATTTGCACAGCTCACCCTTGACGACGATTCGATGGGCTTCTGGAGTGAGGAGTCATCTTGGCCCTCTGTCATTGACGAGTTTGTCGAATGGGTCAAGAAGGAGAAGCGAGGGGATACCAAGGAGGAGGTTATGGATGAGGAGTACTGAAGCCTCTCTCACGTTGTTTACGTCGGTCCTTCGATTTGAACTTCTAGTGGTATGAGCAGCGGCGAGTTGGGGTAGACGATATGATATGGCTTGCTACGATGGGTGAATGCAGCTTGCATATCTGAAGGCGGTCTTATTCAAACCTAGGTACGACATTCACGGGAGCATAGCATACCCTTGATCCATCTTTGTAGCACTTTGGTGACCGCAGAACATCCTTTAGTAGATAGATTCGCTCGATATGAGTAATTCACAGACATATTCTCAATGGGTACGTGGAGATGAGCATGGCACAACGTGTGGATGACTGAGCCACGTCTTGGCTGTCGTGGGATTGGCAGGGTTTTGCAGGTGTGGGTCCAGAGAGTATGGAGCATTCATCTTCAGCATCGCACACATGCATTCGTAAAGTCTGGTTAGTAGCATGTAGTGATCACGTAGAAACATATTTGGTGAAAATAATCATCGTGTTGATTCTACAATTAAACAATGCATGCATTTTTGATGAGGCTTGCCAGACGGAAACGGCGCAGAAGGTGTTGCGCCACTTGGGTGTGGCTGATGCAGCTCGCTTAGGTTTGCTTAGCGTCTTAGCAGAGCCAACAGTGCCGGGCTTGATTTTCGCTACATCACGACAACGTCCAGTTTCTCACGACAAACTAACCACACAGCAGTCAAAGTGCGTATCCCATGACAATAGATTGCTGCGACTATACTGACTCTATGTAGATGGTCGCCGCTAAGAAGCACGTCCCGATCGTCAAGAAGCGTACGCCGGCACCTGCCTCGATGACCTCGAAATTTCGCGACTGACGTATCCATTTGCAGACACCAAGCGCTTCAACCGTCACCAGTCGGACCGCTTCAAGTGTAAGAGACATGTGGGAATTGGAAACGATGGAACAAGATCTGACAATGGGTAGGCGTTGACCCATCATGGCGCAAGCCCAAGGGTATCGACAACGCCGTCCGCAGGCGGTTCAAGGGCCGAGCTGCTATGCCTAAGGTACGACTGCCTCAATCAACCGTTTCGCGAAGGAATTTTTTTGTGGCGGATGTTTTTTGTTTTGGATCAAGCTGGGATATTTGGAGGACAGGAGCTGACGGAAGGATTTACAGATCGGATACGGCTCCAACAAGAAGACCCGCCACATGATGCCCAGCGGCCACAAGGCTTTTGTTGTCAACAACGGTAGGCTACATATCGATTGTCGCAGCGATTTTGGACGCCAGCTAACGACTTCAGTCGCCGATGTTGACCTTCTCCTCATGCACAACAGCACCTTCGCCGCAGAGTACGTTGGCCCGGCCACGCCATGCACGACGCGACCCGCTAACCAATTGCAGGATCGCCCACGCCGTATCAGCACGAAAGCGCATCGACATCATTGCCCGCGCGAAGCAACTTGGTGTCAAGGTCACCAACGGCAAGGCCCGCGTCAAGACCGAGTCGTAGATGTGTGTGGATTTACTTTAGGGCGGGGCATACAAGGCGTCTCTCTGATTAGTTACGATCTCAATGGGAAGGCTTTTCATCTTCTTTGGCTCACAGTACCCTTTGATGCGGTACGAGGAGAAGCATGCACTTCAAAAAAGCATTGCGACATGCTACCGCGGCATGACCCAGGACATGAAAGGACAGAAGCCGTAGGAATGCAATGAAAAACGAGCCAAAACCACCAGGACGATTCTTTTCCTCCGCAGTGATGTAGGACGCGTGATGTGGGTTTGGGTCGGACAGTGTGTTGGCGAGACACATGGACAGAAGTCTAACAGCAGTTCAGCTACGCCTTGAGCATTTCCTTTGGCGCTCGCGCAGAAGACTGCATCTAACGAGCGTTGTTTTGGGAAATGGAGTGAAGAGATGTAGCACGGTCTACGCCAAGCCTGGGATATATACTGGCTACATGGCATTCCTTCACATGCTCAAGGTGAGGCGCCGATCATGTCGCGTGTGTTGTGATTACCCTGCATGAGTGTTGCTGACTGTAGCCAGCCAGAGACTTGTCGGACTCCGGCTGATAAACATTAAGCAAGTCAGATATTCTTGGCCGCGCCCAAAACACGAGGCGCATAAGACGCGCCGGTGCGATACGGTATGGTGTTAATTATATTCGTTATCAAAACGACCATGTCTATTTATTCTTGCAGGCTGCTTGTACTGCATGAGGCTGTACAGGAGCAGGCTGAATTAGCATACCTACTTACTCTGGTATCCACACTCACCACCACCAACGCCACGACTGCAACATTCGGACTGTTCAGCTCACCCACCCTCACCGCCCCCTAGTCGATGAGATGCGACGACCACTGTGTGTGTGCACATGCCTGCATGCATGCTGATAAGGCAGTTCTGGCGATAACAAAGCCATGACATGTGCGAGTCGTCGTTGGGGGGTTAGGTGTAGGGGTGGGCAACGCCAGAGCCGCAATGCCCCTGGGAAGGTTGGCTTGGCGGCGTCGCAGGTCCGGAAGCAGGAGCTTCCAGAAGCAAAGGATAGTTTAACCTCGTGGGCTGGGGGAAGCAAGCTTTTGGCTTGCGACGCTGGGCTGCTTCGGTCTTGTTTATAGGGTCTGGGCTGTTTGGTAGGGCTACAAGAGCTGGGGACGGCGGACGGTATAGCATGAGGCGGAAGGGAAATTGAAGGGAGCTCAGAACGACATTCTCCCACCTGTCTCGCGCGGAAGGTTTGACGTGAAATGCTGGGGATGGTTACTGCGTATGTCAAAAAGACAGGCGCCGCGTGTTTCCTTGTTTCCTGGAGTCTCCTGGCCGGCGCTCGCTAACGGGGACGCGCCATGCGATTCCGCGCTCTACTAGTCGACGCCATGCCGACCCACTCTGTTCCTTTCTCATCCGCACACCTCAACCCAGCATGCACCACACCGCCATGAAGCCCATGAAGCAGCCATCTGTCTGTGCCTGCCCTGCCACCTTGCACAATTGCGCGCACACACACTCTCCGGGCCCTGCCAGATTGCTGCCACACGGTAATCGCGTAGGCTGGCCTGATGCATCCACGCCTGGCGGCGAGGCGCCCTGATTGGCGCGAAGGCCACCCTCCATTCGAACGCATGTGGCATGTTGTCAGGTAGGCACGCATGCGGATTCGGATATGAACATGCAAACCACCGCGATCAGCACATCCGTGGTTTCATCAAGGAAACAACCGGACAACGTGTCTGACTGAGAGGACCTGATTGAGGCAGTGCTCGCCCTCATGACGAGGGACTCCCCGTTGGTTTTTCTCCCCATCTTGCCGGTTGCAATCGGGGCGCGACGTAACCAAAGGACAGCATGCTTAGATGCGCATACGATTTTCTGACTATTAGCTCCCCGGTCCATGGCCCGCACTTGCTAGGTGTACCCACGGTAGGTCGAAGCGCAACCCAATTTCCTTCCGCGAGCCTGGGAAAGATTTTCCAGGCCAACACTATTTTAGTTCCCGTGCTTCAAATATCTGGTCACCCCAGAGCCTTTGTTTCGAGAATCCTCCTTTAACGCCCACGTGAATCAAGCTCGAAGGCTTTGCCTCGCTCTTCATAGCGACACAGTCGTGCATCGCACGCAGTGATTGGCAGTCTTCGGCTCGTCACACAAACCCAAAAATCTCCTGGTCGCAGCAACCCTTTGTCAACACCACTCATCACGCTGCCTCCCTTCCGGCTCACCCGACCTCGAACTATCCCGCCTGGCCATTTTACAATCCACGCCAACCTGCTCTACGAAAAAAAAAGACAAATTCTCCTCCACGAGGCCTTTTTTTGCCTGCGAGCATCTGCCGACCCCGGATTCAAGACCCACTACTACCGCCGACTGTCCCCGGAGGACCACTTTACAGCAGTAAGCGGGACCCTCGTTTGTTCTGTTTCGCCAAACACCACTGGAATGGCGCCCAACCTCTTTGTTGCTACTCAAAAGGCCTTTTTGCCACACAAATGGTTCAAATCCAGCAAGGTCGACCTATCTAGGGTTGTTGAAGAGTGGAACAGCCCAGTCCCTGGCCAGTACGAGAGCATCCCCGGTCGAGGCTGGTTCTTGATAGCGACCCTCAAGGATGCATCCAAGCCAGAGAGCAATAGCAAGTCAACCATCAAGGGATCTGATGGAAAAGACTATATTCCCTTGGAGACGCCCATCCCGCTCAAGTATTCCCATGCACTCGGCCGCTACTTTCTGGAGCCAGAGTTCTACAAGCGGAAGAAGACGGTCATGATCAAAGACGACAAAGGCAAAGAAGTCCAAGCTGGTTTCTTTCGCATCGACGACGTAGCATGGGTCAAGTGCTGGGACGAACACGACGCCTTCATCCCCGGCAACGCCAACGGCGCAGCCGGCTACCAACGCTGGGTCCTCGACGCCCAAACGCAGCAGTTCCGCCACATGATCAAGCGCGACGACCCAAACTACGTCCGCTCCCGTAGAAACTCGCCCGCCCGCGATGCCGACAACCGCAGCCAAGAATCCGTCAGCACCGAGTTCCGCCCCAGTCGTCCCAGCAGCACAAAGAACGGCTTCAGTGTCGCCAGCACCCGGGCAAATAGCATCCGCTATCAGCCCTCGACCCCTACCTCCAATGCACCCAGTCAACGCCCTTCGCGCCAGAATAGTCCTAAACGCAGCGATAGCATTCCGCTTGAGGAGGCCAAAGCCGCCCTGCGTCGCTTGGCCCGCGAACACGAAGAAGCGGCCGCTGCTGCTGCCCTGGCCCGGTCCCGCATGAAGCGCACTGACTCTAAAGATCGCGTTGAGCAGATCGAACGCGGTCGTGTTTCGGAGCGTGTGGGTTGATCTAAAAAGTGGACTTTTGCGTAAGGGCGTTTTGCGACTATCTTTGGATGTGTGGGGCGTTTTATGGTATTATAAATTCGGGAGGATTAAAGGGGGTCGACTGTGTACGTTCGGATGTACGGCACGTGATTGATCCGGATCTCTTTCTCCCTCCCCCTCGGGTTTTTTTGTTTGGCGATAAACACGATGATATGGCTTTGTTTTCTTTTTTTCTTTTTTTGAAGCTTTGTAATAACCTTTTTTCTATGGGTTTTGTACTTCAACCCGCACGCGCTCGCGTCGGTTCATTTTTGCGCCACGACATTTACATGAAATGTCGGTTTTTACGTTTGTTTCTGGGGGGCATGAGTCTAACACACTCCCCTCATGCTGTTCCTTTCTTTTTTTTTGATACACACCTCTAGACTTGTTCATCTTCTTCTCATCAGCCTGCGCTTTTTTTTCTAGTGTTATCACAACTTTGCTCCACTTTGTCTTTTCAATGCGTTTTTCTTTGGCGACAAGAGAAAAAAAGTAGAGCATTATACCCTTCCCTCTCCCCCCTCTCCCCCCCCTTTTTTGAAAGCAAGTACAATGTTAGAGTCTTTTCGTGCTTGGGTTAGCTGGGAGTTTGGGGGGGTTTTTTTTTTGCTGGAGTATGTAGGGGGGTTGGTAGATAGATGTATTGATATATGTTTCCTCTCTTTCTCTCTATGTGTGTCTCTTCTTGTGGTCTTGTGGTCTTTGGGGAAGCGTAGGTGCTATGCCTGGTGCTGGGTTAAGCGTGCAGTGGAGTGAGTGCCGTGGCCCTTCCCCCCCCCTTTTTTTTTCTACACGGCATTATTCACTTGAATGATAAGTTTCCGCACGCTGATGAACGTCAGAAGTCACAGCTTTTTGATGATATATATACATCACTGGTGTTAATTTCCTTCGACATAGAGACGACGACGACTCTTCTTCTTTTTTTTTCCACATTTTGACCATTTTTGCAACAATAGGGTACACACAACTTACTAGTTTTTCTCTCATATCCCCTCCAAGACCGAAAAAAATATATATTAGATAGACTTGAACATCGAAAGGTTGAAACGGCTGAACCTTAAGCTTCTAGCTACAAGTCTCAATATAATTAATGTAGATTTACTTGAGATAATGGCCAAGTTATGACAAGCAAAGTTGCATTCTTTGTCTTCACCAAAGCTTTTTTTTTAATCTCTCTCCACCAACATCCCACCCTAGATTTTCCACTCACTACGATAATCAAGTCCAAAGTAATTTTTTTTATGAAACAAAAATATGATATAGTCATTACGAAACGAAAGTCTAATCCCCCTTAAAAAAGAAAAAAAGTCTATATCCGCACGTTTACACCAAATGAATGTTCCCTTTTTTTACTGCTCCAAACCACCGTCTAAAATCTTCCCCTAGTAATACCCCACCATCTATATCCCTCAGGCTCAAACTCCTTCGTTCAAGACATTAAGACGAAATCTCAGAAAGCTAGATTCACTCGTCGTCCTCATTGTCGTTGTTGCCGTCCTGGTTATCCTTGTCTTTGTTGTCCTTGTTGTCGTCGTCGCCAGACTCCTCGCTCATTCCACCCCTGCACTCACAGCCCCACTTACTGCATGGCGTATTAGTAAATATTAGAAAGGGTGGGAAGGTGATGAAACGTACCCAGTCTTCTGGTTCTGCTCGCAAAAGCCTTCAGCCTGGGCAAGACCGCAAACCTTTTCGCAACCACCGTGACCGCTTGTCTTATTGCAAAAGTTGAGTGTTCTAGCGCCCATAAGCGTGTTAGTATTCTTCTCCCAGAGAAAATAGACAAACTCAATTAGAAAGGAGGGGATGAGGATAGAAGAAGATCAAAAGAAAGAGAGGATGGGAAGCGTTTACTCGAAACCAAAATGAGGACGAGGCGGGTAAGTGGGTTGTAAGCAAAGAGTGGGGTAAAGGGAGTAGCAGGGATGACGAGGAGAAGGGACGAGATGAGAAAAAAGCTGTACTTACGCTCCCTTGATCTCGGTAGCTTGGCTCTTCTCTTTAGTGGAGTTATCTTGGTCGGCATTCTCTGACTGGCTCTCGTTCTTGGAATCCTCCTTCTTAGACTCATCTTTCTTGGAATCCTCCTTCTTGGGGTTGACAATGTCAGTGATGCCCTCGAGCTGGCGCTTGTTGAAGATCTTATAGTCGAAGCCGTCGTCGTGCTTGCCGCCCTTGGAAGACTCGTGGTTCTGGCGCTTGTTGAAGATCTTGTAGTCGAAGCCATGGTCGTTGCCCTTGCCCTTGTGCTCGCCACCCTCGGAAGACTCGTGGTTCTGACGCTTGTCCTCGAGGATCTTGTACTTGAAGCCATGGTCGTTACCCTTGTGGCCACCCTCGTGGCCCTTGGAAGACTCCTCGGCTTGACGCTTGTAATGGGAACCTATTTCTCGTCAGTATTCGTATCTGGAACTAGGGAATGTAGTGAGTTCTTACCGTGCTCTTGGGACTGACCGCCCTGCTGGGGAGCCTCACCGTTAGAAGGGGTCTGGCTACCGCCAGAGGGAGTCTGAGCACCCTCTTGGGCCTCGCCTCCCTCCTGAGGGGCCTCTCCACCCTCTTGGGTAGCCTCGCCTCCAGAAGGAGTCTCGCCGCCCTGAGGACCCTTGCCGCCCTGAGGACCTTCGCCGCCCTGAGGACCTTCGCCGCCCTGAGGACCTTCGCCGCCCTGAGGACCTTCACCACCCTGAGGACCTTCACCACCCTGAGGACCTTCACCACCCTGAGGACCCTCGCCACCGGCGTTGGACTCGCCGCCTGCACCTCCCTCCTGGGATTCACCGCCATTGCCGGATTCGCCGCCCTGGGGAGACTTGTCGTCGTTGTCATCGTCACCCTCGTCGTTTTCCTTTGGCTTCTCCTCCTTCTTGGGCTTCTCCTCCTTCTTGTCATCTTCCTTCTTCTTGTCGTCCTTCTTGTCATCCTTTGCCTTCTCCTTCTGTAGCGCGCCCTTGCCGTAGTCGAGAATGCCGTCGAACAAGTCGTCTGGCTTGCGGACCCTTAGTGGCGCGCCGCCCTCGAAGTCGACAGTAGGTAGACCAGAAGGACCAGGCAACTTGGCGACACCGGATGGGGAAACGGATTTGTTCAGCTCGTTTAGCTTGGGCGCGCTGCTGGGGATGGGCAGCCTGGCCGACGAGGACGTGGCCGGGGCTTTGGCCGGAGCGGCGCTGCCCATAAGGGCAAAGGACGAGACCGTAACGATGGTTGTGAAACGCATCTTGAACGGAAAGCTGTCGATTAAGGCGAGGAAGGAAGTACTATTATA